CGGATGAGTTTTTTAAACCCTTCGTTGCTCACAGTGTTAATAGACACCATGTCTTTAGCGAGGTAGTGCGTTATGGAATTGGTTATCTCACAGTGCCTTCGTGAGCCCTTTTCATACGGCGTAACAGCCGCAAACGACTCTAAAACACTAGTTTGCTTAACGTTAGATTCGGCTACGGGACTTTCACTTAACACTTAGTTTCTGACCGTACACTCGTCATAGAGCTGCCTGTGGTGCTTTTTCAAGTGCTGATACAGGTTTGTGGTGTTGCCTCGGGATGTAGCGACTTTTCCACGACAGGTCGTGCACAACACCTGCTTTTGTTGCACATCTGTCGTCCTAAACCCGAAATATTTCCATACAACCGAAGTGTTGCTTTTCTTCGGGACTAAATTGTCCAACGTTGCTTCTGGCTCGGCTGAAGCCATTTATCCACAGCATGAATGTTGCTAGAAACGTCTTCACACATGGGCGTTTCCCGTGCAGTGTTGTTGTTGGGCGTATGCGTCGTTACCTTGGGCCACTTCTGATTGGTTAACAATGGCTGGTACATGTGGAGCACAGCACTTCTGATTGGTGTGGATGACTGTCTGACACACAAGAAAAACATTGAATCCGACGCGCTGTATAACGTGTATCCCAAATCGCAGGCTTTGCGATTTGCTAATTGCATCATTTCAAATCGCAATTTCGATTTAAAATCGATTAATCGTGCAGCCCTAAACAAGACAAGATTAGCTAATTCATTAATCCTTGGAAGAAAATACCTTGTTCCTGCCTGACTAAATAAAGGTTTAAATAGTGGCTGTTCGGCTGTTTTAATTGGTCCATTTCAATTTGTGACATACCTAATCTTTCTTTCCCAGGGTACGTTGGAATCTCCGATTTTAGGGAATAGAGAAATGTGAAAACAACTCTCTATTGACGAACCCTGCACAGAGGAGACATACACATCATAAAAACACATGCCTGATTAGAGCTGTTTTATGATTATGGAAATTGGGGCTACACGCAATGCTTTTTGGTGATCAACACCAAATTATCATGCAGTTTATTTCCAAAAAATCTCCATAGGGCACCTTCAACTTGCTGGATTAGTAAAGCAATTGCAATTTTGGTTACTTTTATCTCTTTGTAAGAAGGCACTTTAAATAAGTTGCTACACTGCTGCTGCTGCTGATAACATTGCATTATCAGAGTGTTATGCATCCCAGAATCCACCTGTAGGAGTGTAACTCCAGGCTTTAGAGAGAATTGTATCTCTCGCCAATGTCACGCCAAACTGTCACTTTGCACACTCTGTATTTACATTTTAATGAAGCCGTTCCACACGAGTTGTCTGCCTGAAGTTAAGAGCAGGGACTGTTTTGAAACCTCTTGTTTGGTGGTGCGTTTAGGTGCTGGTGTGAAGGGAAACGTGAGCGCTTTGCTTCTCTCCTCTATTGCTCTGCATTAACATGTATGATATGCTCTGCAGAGATTCCATACAACACTAAAAGCATTTATTAAAAGCAAAGTAGTTTTAAAGCCTTTTTTCCACAGGATAAAAAAAACCACTAATAACATCTGGGGCCTCATTTATAAAGGGATATACGCTCAAAAAATGGCGTACGGCAGTTTCTACGCAATGTTTGCGATTTATAAAATACTAACTTGACGGGAAAATGTGCTGTCCTCCACGCAAACTCTAACCCATGCGTACGCACTAAGCACAACAACGGGAGAGACGAGAAACTGCGACACCGTTGGCAGAAGGAAGAATGGAGAGAAATATGTGGAAATAATACCATAAATAAAATGTTACCTCTCATTTATCAAATATGAAGAATTCATTTTCAAACATTGATTAAAGCCAATCTTAAAATGATTAAACAAACGCCTGTTTGAGACTCCTCAGTGCACACAAAAACATAACTTGGAGAAATAAATAAATACGGATATGTTATTTAAAACCACCTCGAATATGTTGTGTTAATGTTATGAAATGTTTTCTCATAAATGATGCGGTAAGCAGGAGGACAGAACTAAGTCTAAACTGACGCCGTTTTGCATTTCTATAATGCGTTATACGAGCATGGTTTTATATACTATCACGTTTAATCGTGTTTTATGCCGTTTGCCAAGACTTGATAAGTCGCTCATAAAACACAGGAGGTATGGAAACTAAGAACACCATATGTGGTAAATTGTACAGCTAATATAACACAATCCATTAGTTGTATTTCCTTTAACTGGTGGATTATGGATATATAGTTGCTGATCGACAGCTGGAACACAAACCACCAAATACAACAAAATAATTCAGATCCAGTCGTCATGACTCCACTCCGGAGGGATTCCCCGATCATTTCTTAGTTTCTCATCAAGGGGGTGTCTCCTGTCCCCGGTACAAACACACTGCCTGAGGAAGGTTATGTGTATTTTTTTTGTCATTAACTTTTTTCGGACCACTTATTTATTTATTTTGGTGACGATCCGACCTCCATGCTGCTACTCTGGTTCAAACTGCATCCACCAAACAATATGATTTATCTCGACCTCCCCAAAATAACCAAAATCAGACACGGTGTGAGATGTCTTTTTTAGCTGTTCGGTTGTAATTTCCTGCGATCTTCTTCATGCAGTCAGTCAAAATGAATGAATGAATGGGCGTTTCTTTGGGCGTTACGAGTCGATTGTGATTTATAAAGGGAAACAGGCGTAGGAAGTGCCGTACGCACTTCCCTCACCGGTACGCAATGTTTTGTGAATCGGAAAATGTCGTAACATTTCTGTACCTATTTTTTTGCTTTGTACTACGTAAGCAACCTTCCCACGTCAATCCTACGCAAGGCGTTATAAATGAGGCCCCTGACCTTTTTTGCGTAAGAAATGTTAAAATAGGCACTCATTTCCAGGACTTGGAACCTGGGTGTATTTGGCGCTAGTTGAAATAAATATATAATATTCGAATCAAACGGGATTTTGACGATTGTAATACTTTATTAACATAAGGAAACATACAATTAATATTCGTCCTTAAAGCAACCACATTCCATTGACAGAAACAGTCATCATAACATTTCGACATAAAACACAAATTCGACAGGAGAAAATAAAATTCACAAAAAAAACCTCTTTCCACTGTTCCAGAGAAACTGAATAAGTCAAACAACCACCGTAAAAATGTTCTCTGTTTACTTTTTCAGATGTAACTAAAGTCTGATTTAAAGTCTGAACTGGCTCCTCTCCAGCTACCAGCTCATTCCATATTCTTGGTCTGATAGGGACTTGAACCGGCAACCTTTTGGTTCCAAGACCAAGTCCCTACAGACTGAGCCACTGCCGCCTTTACTTGAGCATTTCCATTTAATGCTACTTTCAAGATTCAAGAGTGTAGTTATGACAATGAAAATCTTAGCCTGTGACCTAAAATTTTCATTGTCATAACTACACTGTAGCTATATACAAATGACAATAAAATGAATTTTAAGAGATGATTATATTTCACATAATTTTTCCAAATCTGTAAAGTAAATAAAGGTATTACATAAATGTGGTGGAGTAAAAGTACACCATTTACCTCTGAATTGTAGTAGAGTACAAAGTAGCATTACATGGAAATACTCAAGTAAAGGCGGCAGTGGCTCAGTCTGTAGGGACTTGGTCTTGGAACCGAAGGGTTGCCGGTTCGTTCCCCGATCGGACCAAAAATATGGAATGAGAGAGGTGCCAGTTCACCTTCTCGGCCACTGCCGATGTGCCCTTGAGCAAGGCACCTAACCTTGAAAACTACTCCCTTGGTGCCGTGTACCTGGCAGCCTCTCTGCTCTGCCACCTCTCCTCTGCATGTGGTTGTGTGTGTGCATGTATATCATCTGTGTTTGTGCATGTGTATCCTCCCCTGTGTGTAAAAACACAACAGAGTGGATAAAGAAATTAATAAAGTATGTCTTCTTCTTCTAAAGTACATGTAGTATCTCATAATTTAACTTAAGTACAGTACTTGAGTAAATGTACTTAGTTACTTCCCACCTCTGCTTATATGTAGCAAGTTATTTCATGCATAAAAAACACATATATCATTTGGGTTGCAAAGGGGTGTTTATGTAAGTTAGCCCTAATTAGTTATTGCATTCTGCCTCTTTCTGCCCTACACAACATGAATTGGTCCAACTAGCCTATCCTATCCACAACCTAATGGACATCTTGACAAGGAGTTCCTCATTAACAGTTGCCCTTACACAAGCATTGGATCGAGCAATGATGCTGATCAGATTTGATTAAATACATAAAAAGTTAATTATTATCTAACATAGGGATTAACTTGTGTCTACTCAGTGTATATATAGTATACTATATCATAATAATAATAATAATAATACATTGGATTTAAATAGTGCTTTTCCTAATGCTCAAAGACGCTTTACATCAAATCAGAACAGAAACAGTACAAAGAAAACAAAAAAACATAAACAGTAGTCCTTATCTAAGTGTGAGTAAAGTGGGGGGGGGTAGACCTCAGGCGACAGGTAGGGGTGTGTGGTTGGATAAGGTCACTGAGGTGGTTAGTGAGGCAAGGTTGTTGATAGTTTTGTAGGTGAGAAGTAATATTTTATTTTATTATATATTATATTATTATTTAGATGAGTTTGTTTATTTCAAGAAATGAAATGTCAACTTCACAAATGTATTCATGTGAACTGGTTGCATACAACTAGTTTGAATAATTGGAGAAAAGACCAGAAGAATGTATGATTTCCTCCTGCATTAAAGCTAATCTCTCAAAACCGTCTTAATTCAATGGAATTTACATTTTCTTGTATTTTCTAAACACAAACTAGTTGTAGCCTACTTATGTTGTTTTAGTTTTTTATGCTAAACATAGCTTTTATTTTCTCTACCAATATGATTTATTCAGATTATTACATCTCGTCACTTCACTTCACCTGACTGTACTGCAAACCATGTATGTGTGTATGCTAACCTGGACCTTCTTGTACGTGTGTGTGTGTCCACAGGAGAATGTGTCTCTAGCGGACATCCTGTCTCTGCAGGACAGCTGTCTGTGTGAGGATGAGGTGTGGGGGGTGTGTGCGGAGTGTGTCCTGGCGCTGCAGAGCATCCGACCCTCCCACCTCTTCCACACACTGTGCATCACCCCGGACACTCTGGCCTTCAACGCTCATGGGAATGTTTGCTTCATGGAGCAGCTGAGCGGTGAGTCCACAGGTCTGACACCCTGCCATTCATCTGCAGGAACGAAACCCCTTTCAGGACTTTGTAAACCCCTTAGTTTGCACTCTCTGCCTGATACTTTTATCTATGACACTTAACAGTTTTATTTTTATCTTCGCCAAGGACATTACTTTTTCATTGCAGTTTGTTTGTGCACATTTTTGTCAGCAGGACTACAGAAAAAAAAACACTGGCCCTGTTTTTTATGAAACTTTGTGCAAGTATGAAGCATGGGCCAAGGAATCTCATTTTGGAATGGATCAGAATCCCAGGGCGGATACATAAGGATTTGTAACTTTTTTGATATTTTCCAGACAGAGAATTTGGCTTTAGCGAAGGTCCATGATCTCAAAGTACTAAAGTTATTCATATGTTTTGTCACAGATCAAGATGAAATGTTTGGTTGTCTGTAACTGCAGTTTTGGCTGGAAGACAAAGGCATTGTTATCTTTCTTGCTCTGAACTGTATCAGTTTCAATGTGCAAGTCCTTGCTCGAAAACACATCAGTGTCTCATTGGATCAATCAGGCTTTCCCCAGGTCGGTTCTGATTTGCACGGACGACATCTTCCTTGAGGCTTTTCCCAACTAATGAAAAGCATCCAACCTAGCAATTATCCGTCACCTCTTCTGTTTTCCGAATTGTTTCATTCCTTTTGCCATTTCTTTCCTTTTCTCATACCCTCTCTATCATTATAAGCATTGATTGCCAGTGGCGTACGAGTTGCTAGGGGGGTCGGTGTTGTGGTAACTGCTTGGTAAATCTATGATCAGTCAACCTAGACTCCAACACACATGATCAAATTACTACATTACACGACCAGAATGGCAGTTTTAACCGTTTTCTTATCCAGGCACACATCTCCCACCAGAGACCCTTTAAAGAGATGCTTTGATTACTCTGTCAGCTAAAGTCCTTCGTGGCTTCATCTCTTGTCACGCTGCTTTATCGGATCATGTTCAGTCCTACGGCTGTGATTCATCCTGTGGATCGAAACACAAGCCGCAGTGCCCACATTTACCCTTCTCATGTTCATGGTGAACAAACAGCGCCTCAATCATTAATCACAACACTTTGCTCTCACAGTTTTCATTCCATTTAATTGAGCTCTTTGTGCGATTTGGATGACATTTCAGTCTCACGTACTACTCTCCCATGCTCACATAATACAGTGACATTGAGAGCTGTGGTGATGTATCTCAGTGAGAATAGCCTGTAGCTTCGTCAATAGGGTTCATTTCAGATGGTTCATTATTGCAGTAGTAGCAGAATGAAAAACTGGACTTTTTGATCGGCATATTTGCACAGTGTGTTGAATCAGTAATATGGCTCAGCTCGTACTACCTGTTGTGCTGAATTGTGGAGGCATGCATGACTCAACACGCTCTCCCCATCACCCCGAAGGCTAGTGCGTCACTCACAACGGCTGTCTGTTTCCCCCTCTTATTCAATGTGGCGAAGGTCGTACTCGTTACATATGGTGGAAAATGTTTCAGCATCTTTGAGAGGAGATACAAAGCATAGGAGGTGTAGAGACGACAAGTAAAGACGAGGAGATGAAAACCCTAAAAGAGAGGAGGAAGATGTTAGGACAGAGGAGGAAAGGACAAGATAATGGGAAGAATAGATGGGAATAAAAGAAAGGGAAGTAGGAAGGTTTGAAAGGAATTGAGAGGAGGTGAATTGGAAAGGAATGGGGAAAAGGAAGGAAAGGTGTGGACACTAGAATAAAGCATATAAGGAAAATGGGAATTGAAGGAGACGTGGTGAAGGAAAGGAAGGGAACGTAAAGGAACAAGAGCTAAGGAGGAAAGGAAGTTAGAGACTCTGGAAGATGGTAAAGGACAATTGAAAGGCAGGGAGAGGAAAAGAAAGGGAAAAAGAAGAGAGTATGATCTCTTCTCCTGATGATTAATCCGCTGATTTTCTCCATCAGTCAGAAAGCTGTTTAGAGTCCTTTAAATGTCTTGGTTTGTCCAAATCTCAAAGATACTCTGTTTAATGTCAGGAGCAGGAGCTCCAACAAGGCGTGTAGGACAGAGAGTGAATACACATACTATACAGAGATGCTGTATGAGAAACCAATGTGAGTTTGGAACATTGCACAATATACATTTATTTTAGTATACCTCAACAATGGAATTATGATCAGTAGAAATGGCCATGACATGGGACCTTTTTTTATTTAATTTGTTTTACTAATAACACCTATCAGAAACTATTGTTTCAATAGTTGACACATGATCATTTTATTCTTAGAAGCTTAAGAGGAGAGCTAAATAAGAGAAGGAAAGGGGAATAAAATATGGGACAAAAGGACAAGAGAGCAAGAAAAAGAAGGGAATGGAAGGACAAGAGGAAAAGAAGAGAAGTGAGAAGATCAGGGAAGAGGAAAGGTAAAAGTGAAGGATAGAAGAAGAAAGAAGTTGAGATAATAAGGCTAAGGAGGAGAGGAGAAACAGAGATCTGCTGGCCTCAGTACACCTGGGTGGGGAGATCATAAATCCAGAGACACCCAGATCTGTCATGACCCACTTTACCCCCCTCCTCCTATAACTCTCAGTAGAACCTCTCGTTCCTTAGGGCTTCACTAGAACTGTTCCTATACCAGTATGAGAAGTGCATCTGATGCACAGCAAAGATCTGGTATCTGCAAACTGCAAGTCTATGCCCTTATCTGATATCAAGTTATCCATGATAAGCACATTAACGCTACCTAGAACACGTAGTACTTGCTGGTACTTGTTAGATACATCCACCATCAGTTCAGAAAAACAATCACTGCATGAAGGAATCGATGATGGAAGGGTTAGGGTTAGTAATATACAGCTGTTGTGGGGCTAAGTATCTTTTCAAATGAAATAACGATATGTTGAGTGCATTGGCTGGGGATTGTACCGAGCAATTGGAGGAACACCATCTAACTCCTGAGCCACAGCGCCCCACAAACTCAAATCAATATGTATCTATATATATATAGATATATATATATATCCGACCGGAATTCGGTATTGGCCGGTATAAGGTCAGGTATCGGAATCGGTATCAGGAAGTGAAAAAACCTAATCAGCACATTTACCGTGCCTCTCCACCTTTCTTGTTCTGAATCCAGTTAAGGGGGTGCATGTTTTGGTTTTCATGTGTCTCCTGCTCGGAGCCAGTCTTAGAATTGTGCCTATTTGAGGAGGATGAGGATGCCTCACTACTCCAGTCTGTCAGGGATTATCACTGACACATGAATTATGCAAATGAAGGAAAACAGCTGCTCTTGCCCACTGGACCGTTGTTCTTTCGAATATTCCTCTGATTTGTATCTCATTACGGTAGATTCTTAGCAAGTGGGTTAAAGCACAGAGCTGACATGGCTATACATTGTAGTGTTCACATCAAACGGCAAACGCAGTGCTTGCTTCCTTTTGATGACTTTATGATATTCTTTTCAGTGCGGTTAATTGGCCTGTTTTCAACCTTGCAGATGATCCAGAAGGTTCCTTCGTGCCTCCTGAGTTTGACCACACGGGAAGCACGTTCGAGGTGAGAGATGCTAAATCTTCCTATAGACTTTATTCTGGTCACAGTGTCACACATCCACCCCTGGGACAGTACAGCACACAGTCATAGGCACCTTGCTGACGTTTGCTAAGGTCCTTTGTCCTCTAACCTCACCTGAAATCCTCCATATAGCCAGCCATTATTCAGCTACAAACTAACCACTGTCACCTCTACCTAATAATACGAAACTGAAAGGCAGTATGGTTACATGCAAGAACTGTACTTCTAGCAACATTTTCTTTGTTCTGATACTGTAAATAATATAGTTGTAATAGTTAGCTGACTTCTAATGTTCCTTGCCCATCAGTAAAGGACAATGCATAATATTCATTTACTTGACGCTGTTAAACAAATTACTAACTATAAGTAGGCTACATTAAACCATATGGATACAACCCGAAAAGTACAATAACATCAACTTAATGTATTTAACAAGCAGACATGCAGGACTCCTTCAAGTGCTATATTTAAAAATAAAAAAACATGCAGTAATAATTGTGTATGTGCCTGTGAAAGTCTGTGTATTTAACCTTTACATTCATCTTTTAAATACTGCTGTTATTTTAGTCTTGAAAGCAGTCTTTCTGCTTACAATAATGGGACATGATTATAGATTATTATGATTGTAGAAATGATTATGATTGTAGAAATGTACCATAAAAATAAATAAATCCCAAATGTAAATATATCTGAAGTGAGCTTATGTCGCCGGATTTCAAAACAAAACTTTCATTTAAAATGCAGCTTTCTGTCCAAATCCCCAATACTTCTAAAAAACAACAACCCTCTTCTTCTTCCCATGCTTTTCTGAAATGTGTTTTTCCCAAGGGAGGTATAACGGATTGGCGTGGTAATGGCGAAAGCAAAACAGAGGTTTAGGCCTTCAGCTGAGTGTTTACTCTTCTATTTCGGTGACCCACACTGGGATCCGCCTTGCAAATGAGTTTACCACATACGTATGGGTGCAGTCCACTTCAAATGTAGGGAGTGATGGTTATGTGAACTCAGAAGCACCTGGTTCAAATCCGCTGCTGCCTCAGAGCAGACCATAATGTCCCCTGTGGGTGTAGCAAAGCAAAACAAAAGCTCTGTCATGACAATTACTACCCAGAATGGTAAGACCCTGTGTTTCCCAAGCCTCTGCATGGATTCAGATCTCTGTACTTGACTGTGTTTTCTCCTCTATATCCCCGGCTGCAGGGCCATGTTTACTCTCTGGGCTCCACGCTCACTGCCGCTCTGAACTTTGTCATCGAGCCAGAGCTGGAGGCGGAGCTGGGGGAAGAGATTCAGAGGCTGCTGGAGCAGATGCAGGAGGAGAAGCCGGAGGACAGGCCTCTCCTGCAGGTATAAAAAACCCTGCTGACTGTTCTTAACTGCCATAATGATTTATAGAAAGGTGTGAAAATGTGTGTGGAATAACCAGAGATCTCTCTTGAACTATTTGGTTGTCATGGTAACAAGAAAAAGAGGAGTGAATGTTCTGAAATATAATCGTTACAAGTGTTTAGTTGTACTGTTGGCTTCTCACAAACGGCCTTTTGTTAAGAATCTTGTTTTTTACAGGTCCTTAACATTTCTTAAACACGCTTAGTTCAGTTGTCAGAGGTAGCTTTTCTCAGTTAAAGCAGAAACGGGAAGCTCTTCAACTCCCGAGCATTTCAAATTGGGATAGTGGTTGGTGTCGCTGTCAGGTCGCTTTCTGTTTTCGAATTCGAACAACCCAGGAGATACTTCTGTTTCCAATCAAACTGCGCAACGGAGACGTTGACACGTTGTCTGTCCGTTGATTTTTATATAAGGAAGTGGATCCATCTGCCTGTTCATATTCCGTTAGCAACATGGCTAACGCTAGCTGCCTGGCTAACGTTACTGTCCAAAGCAAGAAACAGCATTAAGAATCCGAGAGAAATGAAAAACTCTATCAGTGCTGTGATAACTAAGCGATAAATACCAACAGGGGGATCAGGATCCTTACGCAAAGCTTATTCCACGGCTACATACTAAATGTAAGAATTAATAATTGTTTTATCAAGTAGGCAGGTTTACTACTTAATGATGTAGCTTAGTAGGAGAAAATGTTTTTTATCACTGTTCGCCTCCACCTTCTCCATCAAGAGTTTGTAGTTCCCACAATTGCCAGCTGGGGATAGCTACTGTTGCTATTTTGTAGAGTTAGCAGTTAGCAAAATGCGCTCTCCAAGGCAGTGATGCAGTGTAGATGTCTGAGGCTTTTATTTTGAAAGAGATGCAAACTTGAAGGCAGACGAATTCCCTATAACTCACGCGTTACTACAGCCATATACTTTATAATGATTTAAGTTAAATAAAGTTAAATATATTGCCACTTTAAGAGATTTAACCAAGTAAAGGGCTATCACCTCTAAAGTATTTTAAGAGATGCTTTTATTACCTCTCAGTCAGAATACTGTAATTCTTTGTATGTGGGTGGAGAACAGTCGTGTCTTTGTTATCTGCAGTTATAACATATTCCAACTGGGAAAGGAAAGTGTGATCACATAATGCCGGTATTGGCCTCCTTCCACTGGCTTCCTGTCAGTTTCAGGCTTGATTAAGATATTGCTTGTGAATAAATATTTGGGCTGGATCCACCTTAGCAGAACTCTTGCATCTTCATACATCAATTAGAGGTCGACGAACCAGCTGCTTGTGGATGTTCCGAAATCCATATGCAAAGAAAAAGGGATGGATCCTTTGTGAAGGCTGCCCACAATCCTTGGACTAGCTTATCTATTCATTTAAAGCTGCCTAGACACTGATTTTCCCGTTTTATTGCCATGTTTGAGCTTCGAACCTTGACTTTAGCTTTTGTTGAGCCGCAATTATTGCATGAAAAGTAAATTATTTTAAATTCATTTGGTCAGCTGTTATTGTTTTGAATGTGCTATGATCAAGGTCAAGATGCAATTTAAGTGGATGATAAATTAGAGAATAAGGTTTAAAATGAAGTCAATTGAAATGTAAGTATTAGTGGTTATTGCAGCTTTGGTTCAATCTTTTTTTTAAATAGTAACAATACACTTTATTTTAACCACCACAAAGGAAATCCAAAATACCTTAAAAGAAACTAACATGGGCAAAAATGATCCACCTTAGCGGGTCACCATGAGCAAGAGGGTCTGCTCAGCCCTGGTAGGTAATTATGTGACAGATATGTGAAACGCTCACGTATATATGTGTGAAATGCTCTTGCGTACACATATTAAAGGCTGTAATATACACATTACATTTAATTATGTCTTTAGCTTTGATTTAATTAAATTTTTCTCTCATGACTATTAAGTGATCTCATTGGCACTGTGTTCAGTGAGTCAGCGCTCTTTAGCAGCATCAAGTGGGAATGCTGTGTCAGTGCAAATCACTCAGTCCTACACTCTGTCACAGTTACAGTGAGAACATTTAAGTAACAATTACTTAAAAATAAGAATAACAACAAAAAAAATACATCCGTCCAAATATGGAACATTTGCGTTATAATGCTGTTGTTTTTATTTTTTTAATATTACAAACGTGCAAGTTAATACTCCCACAGGACATCCTCTGTCTGGCTGAAGCAAGGCTGTCTCATACCTCCTCTGCAGCTGTGTGCCGGAAACTGTCTTCTGTTGGCCGACGCGTGCTCTCCATAGAATCAGTGTCAACCTTTCAAGGTGCTTTTCATCATCTGTATCACCACGTCACTGTTTGGCCTCTGCTGCGATCCCTCCTGGTATTAATTGATCTGTTTGCACATCCGCAGACGGACAGGAAGGCTCCTGGGAAGCGAGGTGGCAGCATTCAAAACCCAGAGGTCTGCTTAAGAGACTGGGCTCTGACGATCACACCAAAGACCAGTGTGTCGAGAGTTCTGTTAAAGCTAACGGTCTGTCCAGGCAGCAGGTAGGTGTCAATATGTAGCTGTAGCCATTTTTAGGAAGCTGCTGCTATGTGGAATAAAGGATTTTAGTATTTGCAGCAAAAATAAAGGACTAATAAAAGAGTTCGTCTGGAGCCTACAATACAATATGTTCTATTTTTCCTGTTTTAAGTTATACATTAATGAAATATATACTAGGAATTGATAAAGAATCAGATAAGATAAAGGTCCCATGTCATGGCCATTTCTACTGATCATAATTCCATTGTTGAGGTCTACTAAAATAGATTTACATTGTTCAATGTTACAAACTCTCATTGGTTTCTCATACAGCATCTCTGTATAGTATGTGTATTCACTCTCTGTCCTAAACGGCTTGTTGGAGCTCCTGCCCCCCCCTCCCTATGAGCCCAGTGGCCGTCTGCGAGACAGCGAAACCCAGCCCTAACACACACACACACCCGCAGCCTGGCTGGGAGTTTGTGTGTGTGCTCACACACCGACTCACAGCCTCGCCGCGTCCCGCCGTCTCAGGGAGGAGAAATTGGCGGAGCTGCAGCTGAGAAAAGATTGAGTGTGTGTGTGTGAGGAAGTCCGCAGATTGGTCCATTTGGACCAATCTGCGGACTTAACGCAACGGCTCCGCGGCCTAACGTAACGGCTCCACGGATTGGTCCATTTGGGTATGGGCACGTCACTGTACCCAGGAAGAAAAAGAGAAATCTCCAACGAGGCGTTCTGGGGCAGCATAGACAGGTCTTTTCTGTGTTAGAGTTTTACTCCCTACAGGGTGTACTTTGAGGGTTTGTGACTCTGCAGACCGTTTACATGCAGAAAAACCTTCATAACACACAAGGGGACGGGTAATAACCAGAAAAGCATGACATGGGACCTTTAATGTCAGATCAGGTCGAAATGTTTCTTGCATCACAGCAGCTCCATTTGCAACATCAAACAAGGACAAATATTAAGACACGATACGGGGGAAACAGATATTTAACATGACATCACGATCTCATATCCCATCCTAAATAAAGCCAAAATGTGGGGACGATGGTAAAAAAAGTTAGTCTGGACCCTTAACTGTATAATATGTTTTCTAGTTCTACCCCAAAAAAGATCAGGAATCAATAAATGAATCAATTAAGAATCAGACCATAAGAGAAAGTGATAATGGAACCAGTATTGATCAAATCTTTCCCATCCTAAAAAAACAACCAAGGGACAATGGTAAAAAAGCATGGAAACTTTAATTTACAATATGTTCTCTTTTTCCACACAGGATGTATCAGGATCAATAAAGTGATTAATAGATCTATAAGAGGAATGTATGATGGAATCAGTATGGATAAAATATTTTTAACTCCCATCCGTAATAAATTAATAATAAATAAATAATATTGTTTTTTTAAAAAGTCTGTATGTTCTCTTTTTCAACTTATCAGGAATCAATAAATACATATATAAATAATCAGATCTCTTAAAGGAATCAATTGTCAAGGTGAGCAGAGCAGGTTGGACCAAAGTGCAGGACAGACAAATGTTTCAAAATGTCAAGGCTCACTCCCTTGTAAAAGACTCAAGAATCCCACTATACTACCAACAGAAAACCAGAACTTAAATACATTCAAAACTAATCAGGGGACAAGACCCAGCTGGGCAGGACAGGAAAAACACACCAGGTGAAGAGCATCAGTAATCAGACTGGAGGGAAAACACAGAGACAGGAAGCAGACAGAGACAAATGACTGGGGGTGAACACCTTTCAAAATAAAACACAGAAAAACACAAACAGATCGTGACTAACAATGTAAGTGGTAGTCAAATCCTTAATGAGTTAATGTATTGAGGACGTGGTAGAAATAAAGTCAGGATCTTTTAATATGTTCTCTTTTTCCACCCAATCATTTGACTCAATAAATGAATCCACAAAGAATCAGATCCATAGAAGGAATCAATAATGGAATTTGTATTGATAAAATCGTATTAATTCCAATCCCTAAACAATCCCTAATAAATAATTTCAGAACGTTGGTGAAATAATAATTTGTCTTGAGCCTCAATAGGTTCTACTTCTACAACCAACAATTCATCAGGAATTGATAAATGAATAAATAAAGATTCATATTGACAAGAGGAACCAATAATGGAATCAATAATTAAAATCTTATACATTTTCATTCCTCGTAATCAGGATTGTTTTTGCCCTCAGTTGAAACACTCTACCTGTCAATGTGCAGGTGTGCCGGGGCTGGGACTCCTCTCTGTGGGCGGAGGACATGGAAGGTGATGGAGACTGCACCACCTTGGCAGATGAGTTGGACTGCAGGTCCCAGAACAGCTCCCCGGTGCGGAGGAGGGTCCATCAGAGGCTGAACAGGGGGAGGGGGGCTCTGAACCGCTCCTGCTCGGTCCCAGACTCCAACAACCCCCCCTGTCTCTCCCCTCCAACTCACGGAGATATCAGCGTACCCGTATCCGACCTCACAGAGATCGGAACGGATGAACACTCGAGCTGCGAGTCCATGTGGAGCAACAGAGTGCCGAGACTGGACCGGGGCAGGTCCTGTGAGTCGTACCCCCGCAGCTACACCGAGGATTATAGGGAGGAGTCCAGAGGGAACGAGGACGCTGCAGAGACATTCTGCAGCGGGGAAACAAAGACCCAGGGGGGCAGTGATTGTGATTCTAAGGACTGCACCCAGGATTCAGCGTCTTCCTGTACTTCCTGTCAGGAGCTGGACATGGAGCAGGACTCTTCTGAGGACCAGAGCTCGTTGAACCACACCCTCTACATTCCTAACAACTACATGACCAAAAGCATGCTGTGCCTCAATGAAGAGTCCCAGGATGAGGTGAGACAGTGTCTGCTGGTTCTCAGACCACGTGGGCAGATTTTTTCTGCACTCTTGTCTTGTGATTTAATACAGTGGTGCAGAGATTAGTCCTAGAACCCTACAAAAAGATGTGATCACAGCTCTGCAAAACGTCTGTCTGTAAATAAGTGTAGCCGTGAAATAGAAACATAAAAACACTAAGCAGTCTTTAAGGTGGTGGTCAAACTCAGTTCAGAAATGGGAAAAGTGTTTTTTATAAAGGTGTCTTCATTAAAATTCCATAAGTAGTAGCTTGAGTTTAGCTAAATAAAAAGCTGTTAGTCCTTTGTCATCATGTGACCTAAATACAAAAGTGTTGGTTATGTGCTAACAGATGGCCACACTGTTGAATAAGGGGTAGGTGAGCCTATTAATTCCCTCAGGGCTGGGAAATATATCAACACTAAACTGATGAAGATAAATAAGGCTTATTATCACTTAGATTTTGGATAACTTAAAGGTAACCTATCATGCTATATTTAAATGATATATTGTAGGGCCATACCTATATAAGGTATATTTATACGTTTCTGTTTTCAAAATAACAAACAGATCATGCATTTTAGCCATGCCTCATTTCGCTCTATGTGCTGTTTGCTGTCTACGGGTCTGATTCTGCTGACCACGCCCCCCTGCAGGAGAGGGGAGACGTGCTCTGATCAGCTGCTGGGCTGTCAGAAGAGGGGGAGAAAAAGAGATCTCCGTCCTCCGTGTTTTATTATATAGAGTCGTTATTGATTTGTTTTAAAGCTCAATAAATAACAAAGAAGACCTTTGACCGGCACTTTTCTAATTTTGTCCGGAAGATTTAAACTTTAACGGACATCTTGACCGGCGAAAGTAACTGAAACTGAAACTCTGCCGCACGGTCCCCTCGTTCCTTGGAAGAGGCGGAGAGGTGGGTGTTTGTCATCTGCTGGTGGACTAACCGGAGATAATTACAGTGCTTGCCTCGACGGGGAGGGATTGCATTGCAGCGGGAGCAAACGCTTGCCTCGGGGAGGGAGAAAGAAAGCCACAGCGGAGAATAAACAGAAGGGTAACCATGGTAACCAAGTCTTCTTCGCTGCTTTTGTGGCAGACTACAGCGCCACTTACAGGCCTGGCATATGTACTACAGCGTCTCCAGCACTTTCGAACGGCAATGGCCGTGGCTGTCTCCTCCTGATTGGTGGAGTTGGCCCAATAGCCGTAGCGCCACCGTCCTGACGTCAGGACAGTGTTCAAATCTGGATCAGTTTTGATCAGATCCGTTGCAGCCCCTTTTTTAGAGATTTGGGTATGGAGGAAAATAGAGAGGGTTGTGTTTTCTGACACTTGGTGAGTTCCCTGGAACACCGGGGACACATATTCATGTATAAAAGACGTACAAAAGTGCATTTTGCATGATAGGTCCCCTTTAATATCATAAAACGGTGTCTTTTCCTGGTTTTAAAGCTCTATTACAATGGATGCATATACTTTTTCAAGGTCAAGACGGACATTCAACCCATTTTTTTAACTTCCAAAATGTAACTATTCCCTTTGTCATAGTCACCTGGAAGAAAACTATTTATAACATGGGTTGGTGTTTCACTTCAGCCCCTTGTGGCCAAAACATGCATTACACCATGGCAACACCTTTCTTATTGTTCCCACAGGTGAAAAAAAGCAACCTTTTGAGGGAATCTCCGATAACATTGGCAAAAACCTCAATTTCATCTGTTCTTAAGTCGTAAACACAGTAGAGAAATCAATTGAGATCAGAGTCAGACTTAGAAAATGTACCACCAGGTTATTTTTCTCAATTGCCTTTAGAAAAACTTCCATAAGACAAATCACTGTTGAAGAGAACTTAGAAAAATGAATTTGGAGTTACAGTTACATTAAGGCAAATGTAGGGATCAGCTGTAGCTCCAAAGCCTGTCCCTTAATCTCATTTGAAACTGTTCTTTATTCTCTCTCCAGTGGATCTCTCTGAGGGAGCTTCTGACTCGGTGTGGACGGCGGCTGACCGTTAACGAGCTCTGGGCTCTGTGTTTCTCCTGCCTCTCCTCTCTGCAGACCTACATCGATTTTCCAGGTGATTAAACCATTTCATGCATGAAATCAATACTTAATATGAACTACTCCTTTTAGAACAATTTAGAACTCAACATATAAAGTAAGAGCACACATCCTTTTGCATATGTCTCTAAAGAGCTCTCAACCCCAGATCATTAATGCTCGCAATTCATCTGGAAACCTCTAGCGATAAATAGAAAATGACTTCCTAATTCCAACGGGAACCTTGTGCAATTTCTTGAAGTTGCATCGGAGTGTCAAAATTGTCAGACTTTATGACAATGAATCAGAAATCATGTTGTGATACAAATACATCTGATTTCTCTAGTCATGCATTTTGTATTACAACATAACACGTGTATTGGTTTTGTGTTTAATATTGTGAACACGTTAAAAATGTTTTAATCGTTGACAACACTAGTATCTACTGTATTTATTTCTGTACCAGTGTTCAATTTTCTTGCGTTCATCATGTGCAAGTCTTAAATTGTGTTGGCAATATCTGTTCTGATTGCTCTCTTTTCCATCAGCCTATCTATGCCTGGACACGATGCACGTGGGCTGTGAGGGAGAAGTACTTTTCTTGAAACCTAAAAACATAGGTTGGTTTACTTTTGTGTCCTACGGTGTAGTCTTCTGACCTGTCTTTTGAAATGTTACAAAAGTAAATCCTGTTTTTGGAGGCTGTTGTAAACTTAAATTAGTGTTCTTTGCAGGATCCAGAGACGAGTTCTATCTTGCTCCCGAGTATCAAGAACATGGGATTGTGACCGAGAAGGTTTGTCTTACCAAATTGGTTTATGTGACAAACTAACTTTCTCTGATAATTTGCTTTGGTTTTAGGTTTTCCCTCTTCTATTCTCTTCTGTCTTGGCTCAGGTTTGTGTGTATGGGGTTGCTGCTATTCTGTGGGCTGCAGCCAAGTTCAGTTTATCACCTCATCAAAAGCTGGCGATGCCTCGCAAACTGAAGAGACTGCTGCTGGAGATGGCAAAGAGGACACCCATTGAGAGACCTTCCATCGCCATGGCTAAAAGGGTATTCTTTTTTATTTAACATTTTCTTTCAAAATCATTCGTTGTTCCCAGGCTGAAGAAGTGAAGACTGCCCTAAAGTTGCATTACATTTAATATACAGCAGAGGGCGACTCCATCGATTGCGGAAAGAGTCAGATTGTGTAGAAGTCCAGGGCCGGTTCTAGCCAATTTGATGCCCTAGGCGAGATTTTAGATGCCCCCCCCCTAAAACACCCATATGAAAAAGATCGGTTTACATTTTAATAATCAAATAAGTATGTGAACATAACCAATAACCTACCACAGCCAATAACAAATAAATGTAACTTATTTTATTTGTGTTGTTCATTCATATCTTATTTTACCTAGTTAACATTTATTTATTTATGCATATTTTTTTATCTCTCCAGTTTTAAACGATATTTTTGTTTTACTGTCCTATAGTATACATTGGAATGATTTCAAACCTGTTTATCCCAATAATTATAAAGGAGTGCCTTGGAAATATTTGTTTACATAAATTGTGATCAAACGTTTGAGACCCACTGAGATAACTTAGACTAAAGTTAACTAAACACCTAACAGCGCCGGTACCGGTGCACCCTCTCTCTCTCTCTCCCTCTCTCCCTCGCTCGCTCCCACGCTCACTCGCACTTTGGCTGTGAGCTGCGGGCGCCTGATAAGCCAACATCCCCCACTTTCATCACTTACAGCGCCCATCGTACAGGGCAAATGAAACGTGTAACCGGGGTGAAAAGGGTGTTACATTTACTTAATTATGAATGTTGTTACATCAAGGCCGAAAATTAGGATGAGCACCAACGGTCAAAAATGTTTTTTTCGACGATGAGAAGGAGCCAGACATGTCCAAGAGATAGAACCTTTTGAACGGGCTTGGCGTAGACCAAGGCCCTTTCTCATTTCACTAATTTCCCTTCCTCGACTCCTCGAATCCTCGGTCCTCCGCTAGTGACCCGGAAATGGATTTCAGCGCGCCATGTTGAAGGACATCTCATTTCTCTAAATGCACTTCGAGGACCGAGGATCGAGCATCGAGGAGGCTCTCTGGAGGAGCTATAATCGAGGATACACTGATGGGTCCTCCGTGCCAGTCCGCGGATCCTCCGCGGATGTATTTCCGGCAACAGAGATGTTTAAAGAGTCCTGACGCACGGCCGGACTTAACTCAGCCAATGACAGCTCTGCATGCATCCCCTGGATATTATTTTATTAACTGCTTGAATCGCGACGCGATGTTTACAGTGAGAACAGCTGTGAGGTCCGTGCAGAAAGCACAGCAGTGTGTATAATATCACTCAGTATAACAGGCCTACATTACTCTCTTTATTTAAATGCTTTAGTTTAGTAGATATCTACAAACAAAGAGTCGATATTTTTCTAAAACCATTTAGTGCTTCACATAATAAAATACACAACGGCTGTAGCCTGATATATATTATGCTTTAGGAGCTGTAGGTGCGTGTTGTACAGTGTGTAGGGACAGACAGGTCTCAGTTGGTTTGCTGTCCTATGCTTACTTTTAATACTTGTAAATACAACTTTTGGCCCGTAATTTCACCACTGGGCGCTGGCTCCTGATCCCCTGCAAAAAACGCTTCATAAGCGGTTGGCTAAAGACTGGTCTGCCGCCAAATCCCTCATGACAGGACGAGATGGCTACTGCATACAGCTTGACTGTGGCATGAGCAAGCCCCTTGTCCACCAGTAGCTGTAGATAGGATAGAATAGAGCCCAATGTACCGGACATAGGCTCTAGACTCCTTTCCTTGCACCAACGTTCAGTCTGCAAACTGCCTGAAGCAGGGACGTCTGTCTGTTATCTGACAGAGTGGTACGTAGCCTGCCCTCCTTCTCGATGGGGCGTAAACCTCTCTCTCGATGGGGGCGTACACCTCGCTCTCGATGAGGGCGTACCCCTCGCTCTCGATGGGGGCTGCATCGAGCAAAATCCCCAGATACCCCACCTGCTGGTGAGGTATGGGACTGCTCTTCTTCCAATTGACCGCAAACCCCCAACTTGGTTAGGTGTAAGATCAATTGGGCTGTGTGGAACATTTGCCCATTCCCTGGACCTGGCCATGACTATGAGGTCGTTGAGATAAAATAAAACCCTCATGCCATGGTCGTGAAGCGGCTGAAGCGCTGTGGTCACACATTTGCTGAACGTGCGTGGGGACAGGGAGTAGCCGAACGATAGTCTGTTGTACTCGTAGGCTATCCCCTGGAAGGCAAAACGCAAATACTTCCTGTGTTTTGGCTTTCTAGCAATTTCGACATGAAAGTAAGCGTCCTTCAGGTCGACGGTTGTGAACCAATCGCCCGGCTGCACCAGTGACTGTAGGAATCCCAACCACTTCGTCTTGTAACAGGCTGTGGTGGATCCCGCTCTTGCTGCCTGGATAGTCTGTATAACTTTGTCAGACAGTCCACCCCTTCTCAGCCAGTCCCTCTCAGGAGCCAAGCCAGGAGAGGTTGGCCCAGAGTGGGTAACGCCCCTATTGCACCTGCTTCCTGAGACAGCGCCCCCCAGAACTGAGGGACTGTCCAGGACTGGCCCACCATCATTTGTGTCACTTCTGTGTACCACGGCGCCGAGCGGCGACATGGGGCTACCAGAATGACCGACAACTGACCACCCATTCTGTCAGTACCAGAGTTTCCGTTAGAATTTTTTTTTTGCTGGTCAACATGTCCGTTAAAGTTTAAATCTTCCGGACAAAATTAGACAAGTGCCGGTCAAAGGTCTTCTTTGTTATTTATTGAGCTTTAAAACAAATTGATATTATTCGATATTAAACAAACTAATTATAGTAAATTAACTACATTATTCAAAATTGTACAGTAACTTATAATAACACGGGAATAATAAACGAAGCGCTCTCTTCCTATCCTGACAGCCCGTCAGTATCATGCAGCTCGCTTATCAGTAATGAGTGAACCGACAGTAAAAATAAACATATCTATAACTAGTTTAGGTAGTTTGAGAGGTAATTAAAATAGCTAAGTGTGATTTTCTAACCTGAAGTGTGTGTTTTGCTCCGCTCACCGCTGCAGGTGATCATGCAGAGCTGCGTGTCGACTCGTCAGCAGCAGCTGATCTCTCTCCCGTCAGATTAGACTTCACTCGTGTTTATGTCCATATCGATCAGATCTAGCTAGTTCTAGCTAATGATATGACTACCTGCTTATTAAAAGACACCTAAACAATAAGCCTCGCTATGCAACGGGGTGAGGCCAGAAAGTATAGCGCAGCATTATGCATTTGTTTACATGCCCACCGGAACCCCGAGGCATTACCAACAGATCAACGCACAATCAACCCATACAGGACATCCCTTTCTCCACATTAAATGTTAGACATTAGAATTGACTATTCTTGTCTGTCACATACTATTCTTGTCTGTCACATACTCTTCTTGTCTGTCACATAAGTGGCGCAACCGATGCAGTATTGTGCTAAGGGGAAATTATTTTGACCGGACATTTTGACCGGAGAGATTTAGATTTGCCGGTCTTCAGCATATTTTACCGGTCAAAGTCCGGTAATTACCGGCTAACGGAAACTCTGGTCAGTACACACCTGAGCTTCCATTCCCCATAAAACTGTGTTAGGGGACATGCAAGCAGCTGTGGAGCCGCAGCTAAGAAGCTGTGGTACTCTTTGGTGGCCCTGTCCGCCGCCAAACCTTCCATGGAAGGAAGATTGGCCAATGGGGAACCGACATGGGAAGGGCCGAGCCTCCGCGGAGGTCCTTGAAAGCATCTCTCGCGGGGCCGCGCGCCTTCGTATTAACGCTGTGTTACATACATTTAATCTGAGCCACTATACCAGGTGAGGTGTGTTCTCTGACAGCAACACGCCAGCTATAGTGTACCTGAACGCGCACAGTGCTTAGACGGCACTTCCTGCAGTTTATTACACTCACGTGAGCGCGCCCCACCCGCTGCCTCCTTTACTGGGGTTACAGCGGGGGTGGCTCTTAACGATGAAATGCATTTAATCGGAGCCACTATACCATGTGAGGTGTGTTTTCTGACAGCAACACGCCGGCTATAGTGTCCCTGAACGCGCACAGTACTTAAACGGCACTTCCTGCAGTTTATTACACTCACGTGAGCGCGCCCATCTGCTGCCTCCTTTACTGGGGTTACAGCGGGGGTGGCTCGAGTGTGGGACAGTGTTTCACAATGGCGCTGCATTCTCCCCTTTGAGGATGAGCAAGAAGCAGCATACGGCTAAGCTGCGACCTTTCCTCATCCACGTGACCGAGGAAATCGATCCAAAGAGCCCTTCCATGGACACGTGGGCTCCCAGGAGATCATCACGGTCTTTTTTTTGTGGAAAGTGCCACATGGCGTGATCGCACTGTGGCCAGGGACATCACACGGCAAGCAGCGGCGGCCACACCGTGGACCAGGATATTAATTTGGCCGATGCTGCGGCCCAAATAATCACTCTGATCCGGGGATTGGGGGGGGCATCTTGCGGAGGAGCAATCAGCGAGACGCCCAACACACCCATGTTATTTGCAGCCGCCCTGTCATGCGACAGCGGGGCAGAGGTTCTCCGCCCAGCCTGCTGCCTGTGTGAGCAGATGTGTTGCCAGGCTCTCATCGAGGGGGGGCACGCCGGGATATGAGGTCTCCGGCAGTGGTGTGGGGAGCGGTAGTCCGACACGCTGAGATGGCGAACGTTGGTGGCGTCGCCTCGGCCATCTCCTGGTCTCCCACGTCCACCACCTCGAGCTCGTCTTCGGCGTGGTCTGGTCCCAGGCACTCGAAACAGAGCTGGTGGGGATCGGCGCCCGCTATTAAGCCGGGCATGAGAGACAGGCCCGGGTTTCCTGCAGTGGCGACTCCATTCACTTGCCTGGATGTAAGATACTTTTTACTTGTTTCGAATGCTTTTCTCAGGTGTTGTCCCGCTCGCTGAAGAGAAAAGGATGACTTATATACTGTGCAGCCTGCGTGCGCATTCAGGTAGGCTCGCCCTGATTGGCCGGCTACGTTTATGCAAATTCAGTGTGTGAATGCTCGCGTATCATTGATGAAGAGTAGTACCCATAGAGTCCAGTAGAGGGCGGAGCCTGTGTGAGATAGAACAGGCTGGAAGTACGGGAGCTACTTTGGGTCAAACTTTCTAAAGAGATTCATCTGCGTCCATTTTCTTTTTACGCAGTACGGTTTCCAGAGTTATCGCACGTGTTACCGTGGACAGCCCTAGTTTTGGTTTTAAGATCCCTGTTATAATGCAGACAAAACAGCAAGCTTAACTGAAATTTGCTTTAGAAAAGAAGTTATTGCAAAAACACATTTTATTTGTATTTTATCTTGCCCTTCTGTGTCCCTTTTATGTTTTGCTCTTGAAAGCACTTGCAATTGAATCTCATTATAGAAAATGTTCCCGATAAATAAAGCTTTATTTGATTTTTGCATAACAATCGGCACAACTTTAAAGAGGAGCCATTTTTAAATAGACATATACTTTTCAGAACATCACTTGCAATTTAAATAAAGAGAATCCGATTTGTGAAAGTGCTTTTGTAAATAGAGACTCACTTAAGAAGTCCAATAATGTACCTATTGTTATGCTGCCACTCATTTTGTAAGAGAAGACATTCATTATTCAAATACGAGATGTTTAATTATTCCAACAGTTATTTCAGGGCACAATTTATTCTAACATTGTTAGTGTCTGTGTGTGTGAAGTGTGTTCTGTACTGTTATACTATTGTTTTCCTGTGGATCTGTTTCAGAGCTGTCGTGACTACTTATCCTATCAAGGGATAAATGCTGAGACTGTGTGGAACAACCTCATCCGCAGAGTTCCCCCGGTAAATTCCCTTTTCTCCGCTAAAGATACATTTACACATTCCTGTGTATTTATTGTAGAGTACTTCTATTTGAGTTAGATTCTTTGTAATCATCCTCTTGCGGTGGCCGACAGGTGCAAACACCCTACAACGGCCCAAAACATTTCCATTAGGAAAAACGCACTGCAGCTACAAAAACAACGCACATACACATATGTGCCAAAACAAATGCAAATAAAGAAACATCTTCACCAACTTGAAAACACATGTACGGCATTTAGAAAACATTCAACAACTTGACCAAAAATGCGCTGCATAAACGAAACACTGCAAATACAAAACGATCGGCAAGAAGATCAAAACACAGCGGAAACGGGGACAATAGAAAGTGACGCACACAGCTGGGACTGAAGTCACCTCAAATGTCTGCTAAAAATCTGCTTATTTTAACAATGTGATCACATGATTCCTTCCTTCCAATATTATTGCAGATCTGCTGTAGGCTAGGTATTAGTCATTTTGAATATACCAGCAAAACCCCTTAAAACTATGAAACAGACTAACTGTGCGATCAGTAACAGTTGGCCAACTTTACAATCCCCGAACGTCAACAAGCGCTTCAGTCCCAGCTGTGTGCCACTTTTTACTGTCACCTGGTTTCTGTTTTGTTTTGAGCTTTGTATTTGCAGGATTTTGTGTTTGCAGGGTTTTGTATATGCCGCACTTTTAGTAAACGCTGCACTTGTCAAGTTTTGGCACATCAAGTTTTTATAATTGCGTCGTTTCTGAAGCTGCAGCGTGTTTTGCCTAATAGACGTTATTTCGGGCGGTGCAGCACGTTTGCATCTGTCGGCCACCATATACTCTTAAAACCCTTACTGATTGAAAAATAAGATCTCCCTATATTGTAATAACCAATTCTATTTTCTTTTAGACAGCCTCAGAATCCATTGCTGCAGAGGATTTGAGTTTATCTGAAACTCAACAAAGCTCACTTGAAGAGTCTTCACAAAACAGCGGTAGGACATCTTTACTTTAGTATCGATGACCCTCATGCAATATAGTTGACCTTTAAATGTATAGTATATTTCACACTAAATGTGTTACATTTTTGGAAGATGTTATAATTTAGTTATTAATAGGCTTCAAGAGGCGAAATCCTAGCCCTGCGTAATTATTTTCCCTTAAAAATGTAATTTCTAACCTCGATCATGCCAGAGAAGCAGTACGGAGGCCCATGGTGATGTCAAATGAAAATGATATTCCACAATAGCAATTTACTTTTCCACGTATGTTAGTTTTTATGAGTAAAATGAAAATCTTACTTTCCAGTTTGCATTTTCATTTGACTTTTTGTACAGCAGTTTCTGTCTTTAATTACATTATTACTTTAATACGGCTTGGGCTCTTTTTATGTTAAATTAGGCAACATTGTTTATTTATGTTTTCGTTTTTTCAAATTTGATTTTAACATTTAAATATTGTCCACTGCACAGAAAGATAAGTCTTTGAAAATGAAATGTGAAATGCCATTTTGATTTTGAAATGGTCGTAAAATTGCATTTCCATTTTGATTTTGACTTAAATATTGCTTGCATAAATGGTAACAGTGTTGCATTCTAATCTCCTAATAAAAAAAACATTTAAACCTTGTCCTCTGTGACCTTGAAAATAAAATGTACAACTGCTTTAAAAGTCATACAAACTTGACATTGCATTTATATTTAAAATAGAATAACATTTACATATATGGGAAAGTGTAATACTATTGTGGATATTTTTTATATTAGAGTTAAAATATTCAATTGAATAAAGTCCCTATGGGCTTCTATAGTCTTCCTAATACTTCCATATCTTTGTGTAGTTTACTGAGGTGCATTGCATGAGACAATATCACTGATATTGTATGGCATTGTTGTGACTGTGTGTAGGATTTTTTCCCATGGCCACTGAGAGCCGTCTGGCTCCTGTGCCTGGCCCTGTTCCCTACAGCTATCCAGTGGACAAGGAACTCCAACTCCCAGAAGCCTTCACTTCCCCTGCCACACACTTCAGCCCCATCATCCTGACCGATGAAGGGTTTTCAGAGGCGGAGAGACAACACCTTGGGGCTTCCATTGAAGGGTATATATATTACTGAAAAGTATATCCATTACAACTATACCACTCTTAGAATGACACTGAATAATCTGTTTTAAAAAGCTCATTTCTGGGTAAAAGTAAAAAAAAATGTAACCACGGGGATATGGCTGCACCCCATTTATTTTCAACGGGACCCCAGAACCAAAGCCGGATTTGTAAGTTCATTGATTCTGGCCGATGGTTAGGGCCCCAACACTTTGACAAATTTCAACAACATTTTTGAAAAAATCAACAGAAGGCCCTTTGTAAGTTTGGGGTATTTGGCCAACCCTAATCCCTAACTTTTGCCAGGAACATCCATATTTGTTAGGCGGGTATAGGGTTTTGTTGGATAGAGTAAGGCTAGCTGCTTTTTCATGCATTAGGTCTTTATGACAGCTGTTTGGCTGCTGACTGTTACCAGTGTTCTTTAAGACGTTTCAGCCCATTTTTATTTGATGAAAAGTCATTACATTTTTGTTTTAGTAAAAATGTTTTCTCTCAACTTTGTCAGATATCTCTTTATTTAGTCCTTTGGAAAAGGTCCTTTTTAGTCATCAAACTAGATGTTAGAATTAGAAATTACATGTAATCTAGTCCTAGTCTTCTAGAAAAAAAAGAAGCTTAATAGGGTTGTTTATTTTTCAGGTTTACGGATGAGTTCACAACCAGCAGTGAGGAAACAGGCCCTGATTTTACTTCACAGTACCCAACTTGTACACAGACTGAACTAAATCTACATACACAGGAGTCGCCTGTTAATCACGCCAGTGTAACTACAACTTCCAGCCAAGAGATGCTGGTCAACTCTTCTTCTACTCTCCCTGATATTTCCTGTCTTGAAGTCTCTCTTCCCCCGCAGCTATCCGATCACCTCAGTGGTTGTGGTGTTTTCAACAACTATCTCTTCTGTCAGGATCCCATAACAGGACATCTCTCCTTAGTACCTGTGCAGGTTAGGGCTCCAGAGTCTCTCCTCGGGTTGGATATAAATCTCTCCATGGTTCCACAGCCTTTACAGGGACTAATCACACTTCCAAAAGGCAAAGATTGTCAATTTATGAACTATGTTAATATGCCTTTGAGGCCTGGACCCCTGGATTATGGCCCACTGTCATCCTATTTCAATGGAAGCTCCATTATTTCTGACAGCCCACTGGAGCACAGTATTCCTAGAGCTTACAATGGACAAACAAATCCAGAAAGTGAGAAGCAGTCTCCTTTAAACTCTGCCCCCCCTATAGTCCACCCCGCCCTACAGGAGGTGATTGACCTCCTCAAGGGAGAGTTTTCAATTGATGGGGATTTGGACAATGGACAAGAAGAGGACGTCACTATGGGTATGTATCTTTAGACATGTCATATCATTTCATTATTGTTTCATTAAGTGTCATTAAAATGGCGGCTGCCAGCAAGTGACTAATAAACGACTAAATGTCATAATGCCAACAAAAGTCTGCCTTTAGATTAGTGGTGGTGATGCGCAGCCTAGCGACCCTCATAAAGTTTGTTTATAGCATTTTGTTGACTTTTTATTGCTGCTGATTGCTTCAAAAGTCACAAGGTAGTGTTAATATGTGGAAATGATCCTGCTGAACAGAACTGGTTTCATAAGTCAAGTTTCATAGTTTTCACGGGATGCTTTCTTCAAGGATGACCTACAAAAATACATTGTCACTGCACTACTTTAAAACCATTGTGTTTGGTAGTGTGGAGCATATGTGAGAACAGCTTGTTGCTTCTCTCTCATTGATTGACCTTTTGCTTACCTGTTGTTTACCTTAGGTCTGGAGATTGCTTAAATTGGTAATAGAATTACGGCAGAAACCACAAAAAGCTGGCAGACACAGATACCCTGTCTGTCTGTCTGTCTGTCTGTCTGTCTGTCTGTCTGTCTGTCTGTCTGTCTGTCTGTCTGTCTGTCTGAGCACTTTACATTAAGCAAACAGCTGTGTCCAGCTTTGCTAAATAAAGCTTGAACCAAGGGGGATCAATGAGCAAAACACCAACAGCCAAAAAGATAATAATTCGACAATCAGTCAGTTATAGGCATGACTTGACCAGTATGATTCAATCATGTAAGTCAGGGTCACCTCTTATATGTTAATCATCAGCAGTGACGTCAAACTAGAATGACTTGTACAGCAGTCAACTAAAAGCTGCAGAGAATGCCCTACACCTAAAGGTTTAAAAGGTGACTGCTTTTCTTTTCTTCAGTGATACAACAAAACAAAGACCCACTCGATTATCCTGCTTTGACCTGTTAACACATTCATTTAGAAAATCGACTGTTTCTCTTTTCCGAGGGGAGTATATCTTCTCGTTGAAGGACCTCCAGTACCAGATGTTTGCCGGTGTTGTGAAGGAGAGGTTCAAGGATCTGTACTGGGAAGAAGACTTGCTGGGTGTACTGCACTGCCTGGTGAACTACAGCCCGTCCACACTGTGAGTAGGACCTCAGACACTTTCTTCCTTCATTTTGAACACTCATAGGAAGGTGGCAATGGCAGTTGTTGTTTTCGTCCAAGGCTCTCTTCAAAAACTGTTTACTCAGACCCTTTCCCCGCTAGACAAAAATCCAAGAATAGCACTAGCACCTGGCTTTTCTTTGGAGAAAGGTTACAATTGTGAAAATGTTCATTCTCCGAAAATGACTCTCATGGGTATTTGTTCCACTTCAGTTCCATTTTGCTCCTGAACTGAATATGTATTTCAATCAGTAGAGTGAAACGAATAAGGAAAGGTTGATGATTGTTGGAACAGAATGTTACGTCTTGACAGAAATGATTTTGCACTTAGACTTACCAGGAGATTTGTTATTGAGGAGCAGCTGCTCTGAAAGTGAAATCCACTCCATAAGCAAAGTAATTGATTCAAATAGGGACAAGACTTCACTTCATATGTAAGTTGTGCAAGTTTTTACTCTAATGAATCGAAATGGCACAGTTATCCTGCATTATGTGTTGTACACATTTCCTGGTGTTAGAATATTTACTTTTAAATAGTCCCTTTCCTTGAGTGTGTTATATAGGTTTTAGTGCATGTAAATGTTGTTAAACGCCTCCATTGGACTCCTTTGTTTACTTCTGTAACATAGTGACATCACATTACATTACATTACATGTTACTTATTAGACGCTTTTATCCAAAGTGACTTACATACTCAATACTGTGGACAATCCCCACAGGAGCCATTTGGGGTGAAGTGTCTCAGGGACACAACGACATGCTGACTGCAGTGGGGTTTGAACCTGATCCGAACACCTACGCACAACCCACTGCGCCACATGCCTCCATCACTATGTAACACTCACACTATTGTCTACCGCTCCAACACATTGAACATGATTCGCTAACGGGCGGGACATCTCTAAGCAGTTGACCAATCACAACAGGGCCGGCCAGCTAACCAGTTTCAGACAGAGGGTGAAAAGAGGTGCTGCAGCACAGGCAGCATGAGAAAAATAAAGAGCTTTTTGAAGCTAAAAGCATGGAGACATGTCACAGGAGAGACACGAAACACAAATATGAACCTGAGAATTAACATATATGTCCTCTTTATATGTCAAAAGTTATAAACCCCCCCAACACCCTACTCCTCCTCTTCTCACCCATACACAGCATTCACTTCACACACACTTAAGCCTGCATCTGAAACGGTCCCTATGGCAACCGATAGTGCCGGGTAGGATGTCCGACAATAGTGAAGATACATGTAAGGCCTCTAATACATTGTTACCGAGCAGCACTAAAGTGTGTGTGGGGGGGGGGGTTCAATGGGTTCCACAGACATCTATTCATCTATCCGTTTCCATGCTCTTGTGCTCAGGAGCCATATGTGGAGAGAGCCTTTAATCTGCTGCAGCAGGAGGACATCACAGCCTTTTATACATGGACACTCTTCCTTGAGAATTGCAGGGCTTGTTCACGGGGCTCAGCTGTCCACAGTTCTTGTTCCTCTAATAGAAGGAGGGCTGTAGCCTCTCCTTTATGATGTATAGAGAGGACTGAATGTGTGCTGGATGGATCCATCGGTGTGACTGCAAGAGCAACGTATCTACAGGATGTGAGCTGCAATATCTTTTAAATCAGGCTTCGATGGCTTTTTGTTAGTGATTGTTGCTGTGGGCAATCTTTATTTTTTTAAGCTGTCGTGTTGTCAATGTCTAATGTGTGTTGTGTTTCACGATGATTATATGTTGTTATTGTAGGGCTGCCAATGCACAATTTTCAAAAATTGTGATTATTATGACCGGTCTTGAAATTGCGATATGATTTATGATTTTATTATCTCTCAAAAAATAGTAGGCTTTTATATATTTACTTTATTATGTATATTTAAAGATCAAAGTGTGATTTCTTTATTATTTTTTTATTTTTGTAACAAACAATTCTTTTAATAATTATTAATATTATTTTATTATTGCAATACTTAATTTAGAAATGTTCACATATTTTGCCATTCTGCGATTTAAATATCCCTATTTAGATATCGATCCATTTAAAATGATGTTGCTGCCCAATGTAATTGAAATGCTGTTTTTATGTAAAGCAAGACACATTTTTTCTTAGGTTTAATCAAATCTGTCCGTCTATCTCCCAGTTGTCTTCTTTATTACATGCTGAAATGCATATGATTGTCATTGTCCTTTACATAGGTGAAATGTGGCTGGCTTTGAACTGACCGTGTGTTTCCTCCCTCCTGCAGCAGCTCTAAGGAGCAGCCTCCATCAAAGGCTGTGAAAAGGGCAAACCTTACCCCACCCTTGATATCTGCTGCCTGGGGAGGGAAGAGAGAACTTTGTCTGCACGGTTGTCTGGACCTGAATGGAAACGTACACACAGCCAGCCCCTCTGATGTGGATCCATGGGAAGGACCTGAGGCCAGGCCCGCTCATGGAGAATATGAGGCTGCATGTAAAGGTTTAAAATCAGGATCAGAGGAGAGTCAACACAGCATCAGTCCAGGTAGGAGAAAGACTCAATGTTATTTATATTGTTTAGGACAATCCGGAGGAGGATTGGGCCACATGTACATTTGAATCTGACCAAAAGGGATTTTTTTTCTTTTAAGTCAGAATTCAGATTTTTTTTTATTCTGACTTTCTCTCGGAATTCTGAGTTTAGTCTTAAACTTTGAATCTAAAAATCTTGGTCCTACAGGAAACACATCTGTTGTGTGAGTCATCATGGCGCATTTACACTGCAGGGCCTCGCACGGCTTAGTACGGTATAGTTCAACCCAGTCTCACGCCATTTCGTGTTATAGTCACGAAATTAATTTAATCTATTGATACGTGTTCACCAACACGATTTTCGCATTTTTTTCGTGTCACACAGAACGATTTTAAAAGCAATGTATTTCTATTGGTAGTATGTTTCGTGCCTGCACCACGTCTTTTTGTCCGGTCGGGTCAAAAAAACATTTTCTTACTCAATATCTTACCCTAAGCCTAACCCTATCCCTTTTATTTTAAATTGTATAATGTCTGAGTTTTTTTGCCGTCCGCGAGGAAAAGAAATGGCTCAGAGCCTCAAAATACTGAAATCTGTATTTTTTGTCATCTCTTTTTCCTTCTAATTTGTTATTATTTGGTGCAGGCACGAAACATACTACCAATAGAAATACATTGCTTCTAAAATCGTTCTGTGTCAGAATACTGAAATCTGTATTTTTTTTAAATCTGTTTTTCCTTCGAATTGAAAATCGTGTTGGTGAACACGAATCAATAGATTAATTTCGTGACTATAACACGAAATGCCGTGAGACTGTGTTGTATAGTTAGGTCTTGGTAGGCCAGGCTCACTTTATCCTGCGTTTCCATTACAGTTTAGGAACGGGGGTTGTAACTATAGTAACGCAGTGTAGGCGGAGCCGTGACGTCATCTTCAATGCGAACCACAGAAAACCAACATCAGCCGTTAGCTGTTAGCACTCAGAGCTCACAGCTCCTCATATCTGTTCAGAAACTAGACAAAAGTTAAACAAGTACACACCACAGACTGCCTGTGTCATGGTGAATACAGTCGCTGCTTTATTTATGTCTGTAGGCCGTTGTTGTGAGTGTGGACGGTCGGAGCATATACAACGTTAGCTTAGCCGATCTCCATTTAGAAAACACGCATTTTAAAAGGTTTTTCGCCTGCCGTCTGTCTGCAGACTTGACAAAGCATTAATTCATGGTTTTTACTAACCGGTATCAGTATGTTGTTACTTCGGCATCATTTTGAAACGAGTATTACAATTAAATCACGGTAAAATATGTTAATTTTGTTGTAGTTGCCAGCGATTCTCTCACTAGTTTAGCATACTCAGCCCGGTTGTTGGCCTGGAAAGAAACTCGATTTTGGAGAGCCAGAAAAACTGTGAAAAAGTACCCACTAGCCGGAACTACGCCTAGTGGAAACGCAACCAAAAACGGGCCGGGCACGGCACGCTTAAACCGCGCTCCGCGCTGTAGTGGAAATGCGCCATAATAGCCAGGTCAATGTTGGATCCAGTTCCATATTAATAACATATTTGTTCATAACAGTGTAGATCAAACTAAATATGGATATATGAGGCCAATTTTGAGTTTCTTCTTAATTTATAGCCTTTGTAATTAAAATGTATTTGTAACTGCACTATTAACTCCAAATGTATTTGGATTTTGGAGCGTAAATGCAATTGCAAGAAGTAAAAAGCTAACGTAATGCTGTGAACAAACTACACAATTTCCATTTTCTTTTCTTGTATGCCTCTACTCAAAGTACAAGTGTTGGAGATGTACCCATAAACACACTCAAAGCATGTGACGGGTTTGAAGCAAGGAATATAATCCACATTACATTTTCTAGATATATTCTCTCAACTCTCAACAGATTATAGAAGTTGTTTTTTTATTTATGCTTACAGCACATATCCCTACAAAGATGGTTGTTTATGTGGCCTTAGGTTCCTCACTAACTTATATAATTGTGGCCCATGTTGCATACTCAGCATTATATCACATGATTGTATGAGGTCGTTCATTTCAGCCTTTGGCAAATCAATGCCTGCTTGCTCTTCAATATAGTGGTTGTCCCATTGTGTTTGGCTGATAAGATTATTTTGAAATCAAAGTCCACCACACCAGAGGTGATGTCAGTCTATACAAGTATAAATGCTTTTTAAAAAAATGCTTTTGCTTATTCCTTAAATGGGTACTTACTTTTTTGTTATGCAATTAAAGTGAGAATGTTGAGATTAAAGTCAGAATTCTGAAAATAAATCTGGATTCTGAGATGAAAGTCGGACATTTTAGGAAAGAGGGCAGATTCTGAGGAAAACTAAAGTCAGAACTTTGAGATTTAAATACTTTTAAGGAAAGGAGGAAAAAACAATCACTTTGGTCAGATCCTAGAAAACATTCACATGTGACCCTTATCCTCTTCTGTATGTACAAAATAAAATCAAAAACCTTTTTGTTTTTAATAAATTAGCCCCCTTTAAACAATCCTTTTGATGATTAGAATTGTATTAACAGATTTGAAACTGTATTTCACCCCAATCTATTTGCAATGTTTTGATATATTTCACTGAACTTGGCTGCTGCCTGGAGTCATGAGAGCTGTGACTGGCTGTTGGATGCTGTTCTTAAGAACTGAACCACATTCATACGAGTCCAAGGCCTGCTAGCTGACTCTAAAGATGTTCTCCCTCTCCTCTGGGACTCATTCCTGGCCAATGACATGCACAAACACACCCTTTGCATCTGTGCTGGTTGTGCAATTCAATCTTAGTAGTCTTGATTACAAACAGGCTAATGCAAGACACTTGAGATGAAGGGATAGTGGTATTAGGAGTCTGTTAGACAGTGGGTGTATTGTGCACCCATGACAGGGTTAGCAATAAATACCCTCAGCACCATCTCTTTGAATTTTCATGTGATTCTGTCCCTCTCTTTATTTGTCTCTGTGCTTCCCTGTTTACCGGTCGAGGTGTGAGCACTGACAGTCTGGACACAGGGCTCATGGAGGGAGGGGATCATTCGGCGGGGGGCAGCGATGAAAGCCCCTCTGAAGCTGAGTTTCCCTCAGGGAGAGAGGAAGGGCTGACCCAGGAGGAGCAGATGAGCCCGGACTGGCTGCAGGACATGGAGGACAGCGACTCTCTGGCATCGGAGCGACTCCTCTCGCCCCGGTCCAGAGCCGAGGGGCCGGGCCCCCTCTGCAGCCCGGCCTGGGCCCTGGCTCTGTACGGACCAGAGGGTTTCAGTGCAGAAGTAATGGAGTACGCAGTGAATCTGGGGCAGCACACGGGATCGCCATGTCTGGATGTGAAAACACAGGTGGGTAGCAGACGTCAGATTTGACCTTTACCAGGCTTGTGGAGTAACAGATTACATGCTGTGATGGAATGTAACTGAGTACTTAAGAATATTACTTAAGTGTAATTTTGATGTACTTTTAATAAAGTATTTTTAATATTTATTATTATTATTATTATTATTATTATTATTATTATTATTATTATTATTATTATTATTATTATTATTATTATAATTGTTATTAGTATTATTAATGTATATAGTTATATTAATAATAATAATAATATATTTGTATTTATTGTCATTCATATGCTTTGTCTACAGATTCAGATTATTAGCTAATACAAAATATTACCAGCGAATAAAAAAAAAAATGAACTAATAAATAAAAATGGACATATCATTTTAGGCTAAGATATCCAGCAGAAGCATTAACATTAGCTCCACCTTTACTAGCTGTGATTCAAACATAAATGCATCAATAATCATAATCCAGTCATTTAACATATATAATATTATATGTTAGTAAGTAAGGTTTTCCATTACTGTTAATGAAAAAAATATGTAATCAGATTACTGGTAAATCTTTGAAAAACAAGGATTACTGGCAGAATTACAATTTTACAATACATTTTAAAATAAAGAAGGATCTATTAGGAAGCAACACTCTGTGGGCGCACTTAATCTATTTAGTGTAGTAAACTAAAAAGATCATATAGTGTTTGTTGTAAGGGATCAGATGTTATCTCTTCTCTGTGAGCTGTACTGTTCTGTACACCAAGTGTGAATCTATACGCCTACTGCCGTTTTGTGCATGTTAACGGTCTGCAAAGGCTAAAATCCCTGTGTTCCCTTCAGAGGGAGTTTCTCTCTCACAACCCCCTGCCTATGACGCTTCTATTGGCTAGCGCTCTAAGAGATTGTAGGGGATAGGCTAAGGGGCGGGACATCTCTAAGCGCTTGACTAATCACAACAGTCGGCCAGCTAACCAATCAGAGCAGACTGGGCTCTGGTTTCAGACAGAGGGTGAAAAGAGGTGCTGCAGCACAGGCAGTATGAGAAAAATAAAGAGCTTTTTGAACATTAAAGCATGGAGACATGTCACAGGAGAGACACTACATACTAATATTAACCTGAACATCAGCACAATAAGGCCACTTTAATAGGAGAGAGAAGAGGTTTTCTGCACAAAAAAGATCTTTGAATATATCCATCAACATATCCTCATATTTGTGTTGTATTACTTTATGGTGATAAACTGCAGCTTGTGTTTTAGTGTTTTTTCATTTCCATTCTTGCAATGTATCTATTGTGTTATATCTAACTGCTTATTATATGCAGTTTCACTCCCTAGTTTTATTCTCGTGCTGGGTTATCGGAGCAGGATTTATGTTCCTATCTGCAATAAAGTGGGTCAGCTTTGGGGTAAATAGGACGAGAACATGTGGGGCACTTTAAGATAATTGACATATTATTCTCTCCAAACTGGATCTGAATATGAATATGTGAACTTGGCCCTCGGCAAAGAAAGTTAATATAATTTGCAGAAGAATATTAATGAATAGTCTTTGTGTTAGCACGCTTTGATGGCAGCGGTTTGTGTAACCACTATGTGTAACCACTAAGGACACACCTTAAGAGCCGTGCTGCTACGACTCCTCGATCACTTCACTACAAAAGAGCTGTTGCCTTCTGTTGCCACGGTAAAGAGAGAGAAATAAAGTTTATTAGAAACAAAGCTCTTTCCGTGAAAAGCATGTGGTGTTATCTTAGGGCCGTGTGTGTGATTTTGAGCCTTTTTTCTTTTTTACAGGAACTGCAGCAACAGCTGATGATTGAAACAAGGAATCTTAAGAAAACAAGAAATTTCTACCAGAAGCTGCTGCAGCAAGAAAGAAAAAACAAAGGTACCCATATCATAACTGTCTGGGAATCATTTCGCCCTACATGTTTACCTTTTGCCCTCTGACGCAGCTGACCAACCTTGAGCAGCCGTTATCTCCCATAAGGAGGGGCTGCCCTAGCAAGTTGTTGTTGTTACCAGTTTATGGCCGGACAACTCTCTGTGAGAGATAGTTATTGTTGTGGGACACCTGGAACACATCCTTCTCGGGGTTTAGATGACCCAGAGCCATAAGCGACAACAAATGTGATTCAGTGTCCTCAGCTGTTTAGTCTATCTATTGAAGAATGTTGATTATTACACTCTGAACTAGTTAAAACCTGGAGCTACAGGAGGGTTCTTCAGAATTGATTGTGGCATCTCAACCGTGTGGTCAAACCGTGGCCCCGTGACATGTCTCGTCAATTCTCCGGCCGTAGCTCCAAATAAACCGTCAGTGTTTGCCATCAAAGCTCCAGCTCTCCTCATGTCTCTCTGAGTCCTGACTCCAATTGCTTCAGAAGTTTCCCCCACAATAACGCTGACAGCATACACAAGCTCCAGTGTGGTCGATAACATATTATGTCACAACTTAATTGAAAACTCGATTCTGATTGGTCAATTTGGACATTCAGCGATCTGCTCTTTTACTCTAGCAGACTGTTGCTAAGGATGCTCTGATCAAGACTTTTCCTGATCCATTTATCCAGTTGTTCAGTCTGTTATTATACACAGAACAGGTCACAGGACCTAAGCCCATTAGGTCTGAATACATAAATACATATACAAACACATGCATATTTACTATGGAGAGGTGTCGGAGCAAATAGGCTGCCAGGTTTTCCGGGGCCAGGGAGCAGTCTGGGTTTGGTGCCTTGCTCAAGGACACTGGCAGTCCCGATGAGGTGAAATGGCAAATCTCCAGCTACCAGTCCACACAACGTATTCTAGCTCCAATCGGGAGTTCAATCGGCGATCGTTCGGTTCCCAAGCCAAGTCCCACTGAGCTACAGTTGCCTAAGACCCCTTTACACGAGAACGAAACGGGTTGTATCCGCATAGTTTATCTTGCGTATAGCCCTTTTATTTATACGAGGCCGTAACAAAACGATTGAAACGGGTCCCAAGGTGGATAGATCTGCAAACGGAACGCTCTGCGGGGTCAAACGGCTGCGTGCAATCGCCTCTATACGGTCATTTCCCGATAGATGAAGCCATAGCCCCACCTCTGCTGCTCACTGCTGTAAGATGGCCAGTAGCTACTGTCAGTAGCTACTGCTAGTGCTACTGCTACTGACCATGCTACAGATGTTAGTACAACATCTACAGCTCGACCATGCTACAGATGTTAGTGCAAAATCTACAGCTCCTCTACCACAACCATCAGCAACAAGTGGACATGGAGAATTACATGAACTACTACATGTTGCTAAATCCACCGCGGGGCATAAATAGAAGGGTAGCCATGGCAACCATGCTCTGGGGTCTTCTTCGCTGCTTTTGGTGTATTTTGTGGCGGAAGTTACAGCGCCACTTACAGTCCCGGCATATGTACTACAGCGTGTCCAGCGCTTTCGAGCGGTCTCGTGTGGAAGTACAGCGCCACTTACAGTCCCGGCATATGTACTACAGCGTTTCCAGCGGTCTCGTGTGAACTGACACGTTAAATGAAACGAATGCATGTGAACGGAAGACTTTTTTGAAAACGCATACTGTGCATAAACGCAAACGTTCCCGTGTAAAGGCAGCCTAAATAGATCATTTGCTGTCACATCAATCTGCAGAAGGAAGTCTGGTCAATTGATACCAGCTGTGGTATAAACACATTAAAGTCAAAGTCAACTTTAATGTCAATCTTCCAGTTTGTGTGTACAGACAGAGAGATCAAAACACTGTTTCCCACAATCCCGAATATAAAAACAATGAATATAAAATATAAAATGTAAAAATATGTGTGCAAATATGTATGTACACAGTCAAAGACACATTTTTTACATGTCCACACATTAAGACCTAAATAAAAACACAACAATCAATATATACAAAATACAGTCACTTCAATATTTTGAGAATGTACATTAGTGCAGATTGTTCATCGAATGTGCAAAAATAAATATTAGTGCAAATTGTCCATAGAATGTGCATTATTGCAATATTGTCCATAGCAGCGTGAAAAGTGTCTGGTGCTGGTTTTTAGTGTCTGAGTGAAAGAAAAAAAAACATGGACTTCTTTCTTAATATTCATTTCAATATTTGTGATAAGCACGAAAACGCACCAAAAAGAAAACTTAAACAAGAAAACTGTTAAAGAGAAGGAAATGTATTCAAGGCCACAGAAGGCAGCATTAAACACTAAAGGGAACGGCGGAAGAAGACAGACAGGAAGTAAACACCAAAGGGAACAGCATAGGAGACAGACAGGAAGTAAACACTGAAGGGAACAGCAGAAGAAAAAAGACCAGAAGTAAACACTAAAGGGAACAGCAGAAGAAGACAGACAGGAAGTAAACACTAAAGGCAACAGCATAGGAGACAGACAGGAAGTAAACACCAAAGGGAACAGCATAGGAGACAGACAGGAAGTAAACACTGAAGGGAACAGCAGAAGAAAAGAGACCAGAAGTAAACACTAAAGGGAACAGCAGAAGAAAAGAGACCAGAAGTAAACACTAAAGGGAACAGCAGAAGAAAAGAGACCAGAAGTAAACACTAAAGGGAACAGCAGAAGAAGACAGACAGGAAGTAAACACTAAAGGAACAGCAGAAGAAAAGAGACCAGAAGTAAACACTAAAGGGAACAGCAGAAGAAAAGAGACCAGAAGTAAACACTAAAGGGAACAGCAGAAGAAGACAGACAGGAAGTAAACACTAAAGGCAACAGCATAGGAGACAGACAGGAAGTAAACACCAAAGGGAACAGCATAGGAGACAGACAGGAAGTAAACACTGAAGGGAACAGCAGAAGAAAAGAGACCAGAAGTAAACACTAAAGGGAACAGCAGAAGAAGACAGACAGGAAGTAAACACTAACAGGAACACAGTATGGGCTCTGGCAGTGTCTAAAGACTGGTTAATGGAATATAAAATGTGAACAGACTTGGATAGTTACAGAAAAACTCGATCAGTGCTGTATCAGTATCATTGTATCCAATTATTCTTATTTAACCAAAGGTTCTGACAACAAACTGATGCTGTCCAAACTCAAGTCCCAGCTTGCGGAACTCCGATCCAAAGTTGTCTTCTTGGATACGGTGAAGAAATATCTTGAGGTACTTTCAAAGTGTCACAAATCCAAACAATGCTTTTTCTTATTTATTATCTAACAACTTGGCTCTTCTGTCCTTGACATTATTTATTATATTTCTGCAGATTCTGAGTGTGGACCAGTGGGGTTTGGAGGTTTCATTACTTCCTTCTTTGGCCTCCTGTGGACCCGGCTCTTTGGACTTCCGTTCCTCTGAGGATCCGTCAGCTCTGAGCTTCAGCAACAGCAAAGGGAAGAGCATTCTGCAGGTCGGGTCTCCTCTAGGCCTCATGGCTTACCTCTACGCCAGGTACTACTGATGAGGGTTTATTTGTGAAGGCCTCGGTCCGTCACAATGACTACTTTTGTTGGACAATGAATATTTTCCCGAAAATTAATTATTCTTGTCAAATTAGGACATTATGCCGCTGATAATAATAATAGCTTAATAACGCAACTAGAAAAAAATAAGATAGCGAGTTGGTGCAGTATGTCCCCTGTTGTCTATGTCTAGTAAAGATGGAACCAAAAAAGGTACCGGCTACTATCAACCACTTTTGATAACGGAAAATAAATGGTTCTAAGGCAGGGTTGCCAACTTTGGGTACCTGGCTGGAGTGAGATTTTGATATCATGGGTTTAATTCGGTTTAATTACACATATGCGCACGAAATGACTGCTATCGTGTCAGCAGCGAGACCTTAGCATATATATAGGATATATATACAATATATACAAATACACAATAATGGACACAGACTATAAAGGGCACACAGTTTCATTCACTAATGAAAGTCAAACATGTTTGTTTCCACTGTTTTATTGTGTGCCTGTCGCGATAAGCAATTAATTGACTTATCGTACGATAAATAAAAATGAACTCGATAACTTTTCTGACCTCGATAAATTGCCATTTACATGAGGATGTGACTAGCAGTTTGAAAGGATGTACTTGACTTATTATTATATATTATCATTATGTCAGTGGTCTAAAATGGTCATACAACGGTGCCGACAATATTATCGTTTATCGCAATAATTTCCGGGAAAATGTATCCAACAAAATTAATTATCGTGAGAGGCCTATACATGAAACACACACACACAAACAAATCTACAGACTTACTCCAAACTGCCAAATATATTAATTAACACACTCTCACTCTCATATACTCTTTGACTCTATTTTGGCCTAGTAGAACAATAAGCAGCAGACTTTTACTTTTTTATCATTTCTACTGGATCTTAGATCTGCAGTTGCAGTTGCGGCTCCAGAGTATTTTTGTTGGGTAATCTATGGTAGGGCTAACCCATACAGTGGTGGGGCTCAAGTCAGTATTTGCAATGTAATTACATACACGCTCCCCCCGACAGTGAAACGCCACGCGTGAGGTTTAGATTATTTCCCTGTCTCTCTCAATCCAAATTGAACTGTATGAAATAAAAAGGCACATTTGTCTTGTAGTAAATAAAAAGCGCGACCTGGAGCCAATCCTGCAATTTCCCCACAGGTGAAAGAGTAGACATGCTGAAAACCCAACCCCTGCAGGGGGGTCTGGGGGGATTCTCCCCCAGGAGATTTTTTTAAATACTAACATCAAATACACATTCTGGTACTCTCTTGAGAAGAAAAATAAATAAATCTATTACTACATATTTAAAAAAATGAATGCCATTTTAGTTTTGTGTTACTTTGTTCTGAAAGCTGAACCTGCTGCTCCTCACAGAGAGAAGAGGGAAGAGGCTGTGTGAATTACTTTACATTGTGGATAAGGGTGGATAGCCCCCATTGTTCTGTGTGTCAAAATGAAAGACAGCCCACACACCTATCAATGATCAAACCGTGGGGTCTTATTTCATTACGTGTTGATTTCTATCAACACGTAATGTTGTATCGATGATATGAGATGTACTACCGCAAAAGTATTCTCCGTCGGGACTTCCTGCAACAACACCACGCCGTTATCGTGATTCTGATTGGCCAGAAGACATTATCAAAGATGTTCTAATGAGAAGACGATCACTACGTGACAAAAGTTTTCAAAACCGTTTCTTGTCTTCGGTATTCTTGCTTTTGGCGTGAGAATAGTTTGGGCAGCGTGAGAGCGTGAGATTGAGAGTGAAAGCGTGTGTCACACGCCAGATGCGTGAGAGTTGGCAACCCTGTTCTAAGGAAGTTGAGCCGTGCCGTAGCATGCAGTGGAAATGCAGCATGTTAGCATGTTGACATTAGCATTTAGCACTCCTGTCGAGCTAGCCTGTCATGCAGTATACAACAGTGCTGTTCAATCATTTGTTTTAAATCAGTTTTGGACAACCAACCAGGCTTTGGCTACACAGACAATAGAGTGGTGCAAGAGTTTTAAACCCTGGAAATTAGTTAGCATTTTAGCACTTTAGCCCCCTTGCCTTGAAGTGACTGGTTTTTCGAACCTGTTTTTGGTTTCGATTCCCAAAATAAGTTCTGTGGTTAATACAAGCTTGTGAGTTTTTTCACTATTTGTTCTACATGTGTATTTATACACCTGTATCTGTTCAGGGGACAAATTATTTTCAGTGTTTTTGATGTAGTCCTAGTCTGTTAGTAGGGGAAGTTTTGTTATGTTGCTAGCAGCAGATAGAAGTGTCCTAAATCAACATGTATGTCATGTACTATTTTGTTGCTTTGTTGATCTTTATGAATACCCATTTGTTTGGCTTTTCTCATGACACCCACCACCAGTAACTATGTTGTAATAGTTGGGGGGGGGCTTTGGTGTGATGCTCTCTCACGCTGAATGGAGCCATTTAAAGTAGGCACCTACGGACATCTTGTTTTAAAAATGTTCTGGGCACAAATATGCAGGATACCTGGAGGTATAAAATCTCCCACATGCTCTGAGAGTTCTGAAATAAACAGTTGTGTTACTCTCTGAACTTAGTTGAATTGATATTCTCATTTTCATCGCAGAAATGCAGCTTTGGAGGGCTACATCCAGCAGTTCCTGTATACCTATCGTTTCCTCTGCACTCCTGAGCAGTTACTGCAGTTCATTATGGATAAATTCATCGCTGCTGCAAGGTACAGTATATCCAGCAATCTCCACTAAAGCTTTTCCTGTAAATCAGTGCTTGAATTGGGCCGGTACTCACCGGTATGCAGTACCGGCACTTCTGATTTTTACCCATGTGGTACCGGCACTTCTTACTGAGTACATCCAACTCACAGGTTTATCTTTGCTTTGAGAAAAAAGATTATTAATTTAACCCTTTTAGAAGGGAAGATATAGTCATTTGTTCTGGGCATGTCATCTTCGAGCCTGAGACCTGAAAAACAGGCTCAGGGCTTAACAGGTTAAGAACCCTACTTATCTTACTTCTTGGAAATACGCAGAAATATAAAAAAATTAGAAATATGTAAAGAAATATAAGGAGTTTAACTAATAATGTCCACTAAAAAGATAAAATACTATTAAATACAAATTAACATAAGTCAAGTATGTATAATGAAATGCCAAACAGCTCACAGAATGAAAGATTTTGCACTGATAGTATGAGCATTCTGTTTTTCTTTTCTTTTCAATTCAAGGCAATGTCCCGACATGTCAGGAGAAGCTGAGAAGATCTTCCATCGCAGTTTGGATCTGCTCCAGTTCTGGATCACAGACTGTAGACAGGTGGACTTCACCCCTAAGTCCAGCCTCCTCGATACGTTCGAAAGCTTCCTTAACACTGAGGTTAAAGTTATACTTTTTTGCAGCTTTTCTAAAATGCCAATACTTAATAAATACATACAATTCTGACCCCCTGGTCTCCCTCTCGCATAATCTTCATTAAAAAGTACCCAGTAATAAAGAATATTAATAACAAAGAAAATTGAATGGATATACAATGTTTATTTAATGGTAACGATAAGTTGAATATGCGTACCAAAGCTGCTATAAGACTTTCATCCTACTATATGTAGAAATCCCACACCATCTTTTACTGGGCTGATTTTATCAAGCTAGCCCAGGCATGGGCAAATTAAGGCCCGCGGGCCATATACGATCCGTTGGGTTTTTTAATCCGGCCCGCCGAATATTGGTACAAAATTGTCCAAATTATAGTAAAGACCGCATTCATTTTGCCTTTTTCCTGCAATACCCGGCATTTCAGTTGATCCCACTAGATGGCGCACTCTAGACACAATTGACCTTTGCTGGAGTCGGCAACCTGGCAAGATCTAAGAACCAAATACATCACGCTTACATTGGAGGAGGTCGAGATTAACCTGAGCAATAACAGTTCATGGCGAGTACAGCGAATACAAGTTGTAACAAGCAGTAGCGCTGAGCAAAGTGACTAGAACGCGACCACACACTTATAAAAAACACTTATATAAAGTCAGGCAACACTAACCAGGCTTAGTGTGATTCTGTTTATTTTACCTTACTTTAATAACCATCCGTTCACTGTTATTGACCATTGTGAAGAGCAGGCAGACGTTTTCCTGTTGTTTTGTATTATTGCAGCTATCGGATGGAATCAATACATGGGCTACATGTGGCCATCACAAGTAAAATCATAACGAAAACTACGCCGGTAAAATATGCGTGTAGAAAAACGGCTTATGCCACAATATGATAGCAACAAAAGTCAAGATAGTCTGATTAGCTTCGGTTGCTATGCTAACATCACCTGTAGAATGCCAGAGAAACTTTCATAACAGCGTCAATTCAGACTGAAACACATTCACTGATGGGGATGGGGGATATTTATCAGCTGCTTGTGTGACAGTCAGACAGTGAATACTTTAGAGCGGCTGCTGCCACGAGTTAACAGTAGAATAAACTCCGGTGGACGAGCAGCGCTCGGTAAATGCTGCTGAAACACATTAATAAACAATGCACCACGGCACTCTGGAGAAAAGTATAAGGTTGGAGAAGTAGTTATTTAATTTAATCTGGCTTCGTATGATTAAAAACTACCCGACGCAGTCCTCTATTGATGTTGTTGTGAGTGGTGTTGCGGATAAAATCAGCGACATAAAACGCTGTGTGGGTCATAAGAAGGCACGTAAATGGTTACGTCATGACGCAAACGATGACGCAATGACGCAATAATTCACCTTTGAACCTAATTCACCTTTGAACCTGCATCTGTAACAATGAGTGGACCAAAGAAAAGAAAAGTCAACAATGAGTGCCGAGTGTTTAATGAGGAGTGGACAGCTAAATATCTTTTCACCGATCTGCTACTGGCCCGGCCCGTCTGACATATTTTAAAACTCATAATGGCCCCTGAGCAAAAAGGTTTGCCCACCCCTGAGCTAGCCTACGTTAACAAGTTAGCCAAACTATCTTAAAGTTTGTTCTTGTTTCTTTTGGTTGCATTTGGCAGCCAATAACTTAACTATGGAATACAAATAAAGACTCTGAGCAGGCACAACAACGCCGGAGAAATGATCAACTCGGCTAACTGAGATCCCAAAAGATGGCAAGCTAAAGCTGTTAGCGGCTTTATTATTACAGCTTGTAACTTTAGGTATAGTTTTTAGGCATACAGCCTCAAACTCAACAGTTTGAACTGGATAGTGTTAGCTAGCAACTTAGCCGAGGCTAGCGCTGTGTTTGCAGCTCAACTTTCACAACAGCTCCACACTTAAACTCCCAGGAGTAGCTACATTGTTTGTTTCAAACATAACAAATCTTCAAGTATTAAAGTTTACTTAAAGGTTATGATATCAAACTTACAATATAAACATTTTACAATAACAAGTACAGTTCTATAATATGTACCTGTTCTGTTATACAGCACCTTATAATTTCCTTACGCTTTGTATACATGTAGGACCCGAAATACACATTTCAAATTAATAAAAGCTAAAAAACCTGCGATCTGCCTTTAAGACTGTACTTAGTAGGTAAACAAAAACCCATACATCCGCACCACAGATTTTAAACAGCTTGAAAGACTTATATTAAATAAACACAGAAATAGTTATTTTAGATTGTACCCCTAAGTAGTTTTCACATGTATTCTTTTTCCTCAGGTGATTCCTGTGGACAGTCGGGGGGAGGCCCTTCTTGCTGCTCTCCACACCCCTGCTTACACGACGTGGAGCCACAGAAGTGAAAGCCTCCTCAGCCTCCTCAGCTTCCAGGAAGATGATGATTCTGTGTGTGTGCATTCATCCACTGAGGATCTTGGAAGAAAGGTCAGTATCTCTATCATCAATTCTACCAAACAATAACTCTGTCCTTCTGTGTCTTTTGAGGTTTTCAATTGTGGTCAACCACATTACAGTGTGATGCAGCAGGGTGATAAGGCCATGACTTTTCTTTAAGGTATTTAATCAAACCAAACATTCAAAGCTGAATAAGTATTCAAGATTTAAAGATAAATCTGATGAATGAGGCAAAGACTGCAATGTCTCCACACCTTTGTTATTAAAATGGCAGAAAGTGACAAATTAAAACATTTTGGGCGTTTTACTCCTCTCTGTTTTGTCTTTAATTTTCAGTTTGATCCAAACCTACATTTCACGAGTGCCAACTGGTGCATGATGCTTTCATGATTAGCAAATACTAATTGGATGAATGAGTACAATTTAACAGATGTAATAACCTATATTTGAACCTTAAGGTGTGGAAAGATCCTCAAAGACATCACCTTGAACAGGAATGGACATGTGTCGCTATTTTCTGACATGATCCTAGATCAAATGGTTATTGTATTACTCTAAAATGATTGTTAGTTGCTGCCCTGTCAGACAGATTGTTATAGTTTGCTACATCTCTGTTCATGTAATTCAGAGCAATGCATCCTCTTGTCAAATCTCTCTCTTGATTGTTTAGTGGAGATTCTCCCGGGTGGTGGAGCCCTCTGCAGCCATGTCTAAAGACAAGGCCTTCTCCGTCGCTACGGCCCTGCCCATGCCCTGCTATGGCTCCCTGGCGGATGACCTCTCCACCGTGTGCCTGCAGAGCAAGGAGCGGATCCCCTTCAGCCAGAATGAGTGCAGCGCTCAGCACGTCACCCAGCAGCTCACCCTCCTGCAGCAGGTACACAGCTCCACATCCCCCTCCCTTACTTCTTTAACACATACAATGTATACACTCTGCATATGTATTTATTATTGCATTAAGCAGTATTCCAATATCACTGTACAGTATCACATTTTACATTCAATTAATTTTCCATGTAGATTACTTATTTCTGCATTTACTTCAACATTCTCTTTCACTATTAAATTGTTATTTTTACTTTTACTTTATTTGTATTTGTTTGTATGTTATTCTATTTTAATTCTATTTATTCTTGCACTATTTTATTTTTATTATTTTTATTTTGTATTACTGTTATTAGTATTGCATTTATATTTCGTCTGTACTTATACTTTTTTTTGTTTTATATATTTTTTTATTGTATGTTATTTATTTTTCATCTTGCATGAATTTACATTTACTTTAACTTTCAATATATATAGCTGTAATTCAATATCATTTAGATGTTTCATTCTTATGTGTATTTCTATTTCTATTTCCTCTTGCACTATTTTCTATTTGTTTTTGTCCTAATTATATTGAATGTTGCATGATTGGAGAAGTCTGGGACTTTTCATAGCCAAATGATGCTGTAGCTATTGTGCATTTGACAATAAAGCCTTAGAATCTTGAACATATTCATATTTAAGTTGTTGTTGTTGTTGTTGTTGTTGTTGTTGCCTCTTTTCACCACTAGAGGGAGACATGCCTTTATGCATACAATCACCTCCTGGTCCAAAACTGAACTTTGTTTTGTAGGAAATGTTCCAGGGATGCCATCCAGTTCATTTCCTCAACTCCAGAATTCAAGGAGTCCGGGACAAAGTCTCCGCCCCAAACAAGTGAGTATAATGTTCCAGCCTTACACATTATATTTCATTTGTCCTTTCATCCAAAGCGACAAACAAAAAGTGCGATCAACCTCCAAGCTTTTTATTATATAACAAATCTCAAGTGCAACACAGAACACACAATATCATACAGTATGGGAATCATTCTTTGCTTTTACATCCATTTTATTATATACATTGTAATAAAACAGACAAAGTATCCTAAGTATTTGATTTGGGTTTTTTCTTTAGGTAAAGGGAAAAAAGTGAATATAAATATATATAAGATAATGCAAAAAACGAATTTGTCATTTACTAATGGGTTGTACAATAGAACATCTACCCTCGGATTTACTCTTCAAATAAATCAATCGTATTGTTAAATGAATCAAAAGAAATACATGTGGTAGAAAAGAGAGTATTCTGTTTTATATGCCATTTAATTGTAATTGAATACATTTCTACTTTTACTTGAGTTAAATATCTTCTTCCACCAGTGATCATTTCTAGTAAACAGTTCCCAGATCACTGTCCCCCCTCTCCAGCAGGAATGTGTCTCAGCACGGTCCCCCAGCAGAGGGCGGTGGTCTCCCTGTGTGTGAGGAGCCCCCCTCAGACAGCTTCCTGCAGCAGCTGCTCTCATACGCTGACAGTGTGGCTAACTGGATCTCTGCTGAAATAGTCATCTGTGACTCGGCCAAGGTGAGAGGAGAGAGAACGCAGGGAAGTGATGGTAGCTGGGAAATAAAAACAGACAGCAGCCAGACCTTCAACATGTGTCTGTAGTCTCATGGTTGAATAGTTCATACACAAAGAACTGATCACATGGGTATGAAACCCGGAACAATTCTCTTGTATGTTATATATTGCAGTAACATGTGCAGATTTTTACTTATTTTTTATTTATCTTTTATTGGAAATGTTTCCTTCCTATGATTTTGTGTTTTTTTAAATATTCTTATTCTCTTTTTTTATTTTGTTTAATGTTTGTATGCACATTTTTACTTTGACTTCTTTAGTTTATATAAATGTTTTTATTCCACTTTTTATTTTAGTATTTACTTTTAAGGTATTGTATTCTAATATGGAGCAACTGTCTCTAAACTCATTTCCCATAACATCATGCTTATAGAATATCTTCCATATGATTTATCACACTGCATATACTTGACGTTGTGATGTCATAGAGAGCCAACACTAACCAGACTAAAGGACAAAATGATACTACTAAACGTCTCCGCTAAACATTAGCCGTTGTTAGCTTAGCGGTGCTGACACAGCCATGTGACTGTGATGTCGTTAGCCTAACGTTAGCTTTTACTTCTGCTGTTTGCCATTAAACTTCAACCGTTATAGAAGTGGTTTTAATATGTTAAAATGATCCTGCTGAAGCAAAGCTATAAGTATCATAAATGTGTGTTTGCCACAGATCTTATTTCATTGCTTTCAGTAGAGGGAGCCCTTGCAATGCTAACATCCCGGTCAGCCCTGCACCACTCTGAAGTTGATTGTTCCCAATGTCATTTCTGAGACACCCATTTAGGTCCCATTTCTTGCCCTACGATAGTTAGTCTTTCGGCACACTACTGTTGTATTTTGCCTTGTTTAGTCGTTTTATCGCAGCTCTCCTCTCTTGCAGACACAGGTGGCTCTACTCACCAAGTTCCTGTGGATAGGAAAACACTGCTACGAGTCGAGGAACTTCGCCACAGCCATGCAGGTCCTCGGAGGTCTGGAGAACGTGATTGTCAGGCAATTACCAGTAAGGCTGCTTCTCATGAATCCCTCCTCACCAGAACTCCGCGATGCTGCAATAAGTCACATGCCCTGCAGCTCAATGTTTTTCTTCTGCCGTGATAGAATTGGGTGGATTTTAATTAGTTCCACAAATGAGAAATTTGCATTAATGCATTCAAATTAGATGTAGAAAGTGTGAGCGCAGCGAGGAGGAACGTTGAATAGGAGTAATGTACACACACTAAAGGCACCAGTGTTGAGAATATATAAGACATTTCCATATTTCCATGGGTTACATTCATTGACTCATGTGTTGTGTTGAATCCAGCTTATAATAAGTGTTTCTTTTAGAAATAAAACTTTCTCCTCTCTTGCCAACAGGCTTGGAAACATCTGTCTTCCAAGGTGTGTGAGATCCTGGAGGAGCTACGAGCTGTACAGGTGTGTGTGTAGGTGTGTTTCGGCAAGCACACACATATGTTGTTTGTAACCGAAGGCTAGGCTGGTCACATATTGTGAAACTTGGCTGCAGGGCAAACAAATCAATAGAAAAACAGCTCCTAGCTACTCGCTGTGTGCTGAGAGCTTACAGCTGCTCTGCTGCTGAAATTTAGCCCCAACAGAACCTGATGCATCAAACTACCAGTGGTGGAGGAAGAACTCATGTTTGATATGAATATTCTGCTCATTTTCAGGTTCATATTTTTTTTTGTGCCTCTACTGTGACATGTCTCCATGCTTTAATGTTCAAAAAGCTCTTTATTTTTCTCATACTGCCTGTGCTGCAGCACCTCTTTTCACCCTCTGTCTGAAACCAGAGCCCAGTCTGATGTGATTGGTCAACTGCTTGGAGATGTCCCGCCCCTTAAACTCTTATCACATACAATGTTGAAGCGCTAGCCAATAGAAGAAGCGCGAGTGTTACATCTCTAAGCGGCAGACCAATCACAACAGAGCCGGCCAGCTAACCAATCAAAGTCTGGTTTCAGACAGAGGGTGAAAAGAGGTGCTGCAGCACAGGCAGTATGAGAATAATAAAGAGCTTTTTGAACATGAAAGCATGGAGACATGTCACAGGAGAGACACTAAATACAAACGTGAACCTGAACATGAGCAGAATAAGGGCCCCTTTAACCACTCCTATGGGCAAAATCAACAATATTCGACAAGACTTTGCAAGTTCTGTCCCGTGCGAGTCAAACTGTCCTGTTATTGTCTGAGGAAAACATTGTTTTATAGTCATATCTAGACACAGCTGTGGTTGAAGCCCAAGCACAGAGAAAGGGTCTGTCTTATCATACTGGAAAGATAAAAAGCTCTCCCAAGGCCGTTTGCCTCGGCTTGGGAAGAGAGGGCAGCGAGGAGAGGTAAAAGCTCAAATGATCAGGGGCCTCATTTATAAAGGGATATACGCTCAAAAAATGGCGTACGCCAGTTTCTACGCAATGTTTGCGATTTATAAAATACTAACTTGACGGGAAAATGTGCTGTCCTCCCCGCAAACTCTAACCCATGCGTACGCACTAAGCACACAAACGGGAGAGACGAGAAACTGCGACACCGTTGGCAGAAGGAAGAATGGAGAGAAATATGTGGAAATAATACCATAAATAAAATGTTACCTCTCGTTTATCAAATATGAAGAATTCATTTTCAAACATTGATTAAAGCCAATCTTTAAATGATTAAACAAACGCCTGTTTGAGACTCCTCAGTGCACACAAAAACATAACTTGGAGAAATAAATAAATACGGATATGCTATTTAAAACCACCTCGAATATGTTGTGTTAATGTTAATCTATAGGTTGTAGATACGAGCATGGTTTTATATACTATCACGTTTAATCGTGTTTTATGCCGTTTGCCAAGACTTGATAAGTCGCTCGTAAAACACAGGAGGTATGGAAACTAAGAACACCATATGTGGTAAATTGTACAGCTAATATAACACAACACATTGTATTTCCTTTAACTGGTGGATTATGGATATATAGTTGCTGATCGACAGCTGGAACACAAACCACCAAATACAACAAAAATAATTCAGATCCAGTCGTCATGACTCCACTCCGGAGGGATTCCCCCATCATTTCTTACAGTTTCTCATCAAGGGGGTGTCTCCTGTCCCCGGTACAAACACACTGCCTGAGGAAGGTTATGTGTATTTTTTTTGTCATTAACTTTTTTCGGACCACTTATTTATTTATTTTGGTGACGATCCGACCTCCATGCTGCTACTCTGGTTCAAACTGCATCCACCAAACAATATGATTTATCTCGACCTCCCCAAAATAACCAAAATCTGACACGGTGTGAGATGTCTTTTTTAGCTGTGCTGTCGTCATTTCCTGCGATCTTCTTCATGCAGTCAGTCAAAATGAATGAATGAATGGGCGTTTCTTTGACTATTTATAGGCAAATATGGGCGTTACGAGTCGATTGTGATTTATAAAGGGAAACAGGCGTAGGGAGTGCCGTACGCACTTCCCTCGCCGGTACGCAATGTTTTGTGAATCGGAAAATGGCGGAAAATGTATGTACCTATTTTTGTGTTTTGTACTACGTAAGCAACCTTCCTACGTCAATCCTACGCAAGGCGTTATAAATGAGGCCCCAGAACATAAACTAGGACTAAATGTAAATAGTACAATATTGGCCCCTCACTATAGAGTGTTGCCCCTCAGCTGTGTAACTTTGTGTATGCCACTATAGATGAGAGTAACACATCTGGGTACTTTCCCTCTACGCCAGGCCACGCCCCTTTTTTGCTGAAAACACTCGCTGTCATTTGACTGACGGTTAATACAGATTCTGCAGTTTTCACCAATCACATAAAACATTTTGTAATGCGACACCTCTACAAGAACCCCAATTATGATGGTCAGACAGGCAAACTATTAGACAATGTTATTGGAGATCGATGATCGGCTTCGATTAATGGTTTAATTTAAATCAATAGAGGACATTGATCCCCTATTGCAGACCAACACTTAAACTGGGATTTCTGAATTACATTGTTTCGATTACTGTCCTTTTTTTCTTAGAGGAAGTCAATACATCGATTTGTTTGTTGTTTGAGGTGCAATATACAACACAGCAGCTTTTAGGCGTGAAGAAACTATTGTTTACCGCTTGGCCCAGATGCCTTGTTTTCACCGGAAAGTGGACAGGCCTTAATTCCACCAGGAAGTGACGTAGCGCTGCTCTCATCTATGTCCACAAGCTTCTCAAAGCATTGAAGAAAACAATAGATTGACTAAAAGGGAATAATTTTAAATATTATCTTAGGCTCCTCAAATACTTAGCTACGGCCCTGCACCCAGAGAGCGGAGCGACTCAGCTGAACCCACACTTACACAGGGATGGTTGATCTGTTCAGACAAATGATATTGGGATAAATCTATCTCCATATATTGACTGTGCAGATAAATGTCTCTGTCCTCAGGTGTTCCTGAAGAGCGACGACCTGTGTCTGATGGGGGGGGAGCACACAAGGAGGAGGCCCACCCTGCCGTCAGCGCACATCCTGGCCATGCACGTGCAGCAGCAGGAGATCGGAGCCTTCACCCTCACTACTGGGGCCTACAAGTGGACCAAGCTCAGGTGAGGGGGGTCAGCCTCTTGTGCACATCTGCTATTGGCCCTACTAAATCAGGTGTTCAACTACTTTCAAAGATACAGCTCTGGGAAAAAATAAGAGACCACACCAAATTGTTTTTAAATCTCAATCCCCACATGTATGGCAGCCATTCCATTCCAGTGTCTGTTGAATTCCTACACAGAGAATTATGTTATCAGTGGTTTATACAATTAAATTAAAGAAAATTCATTTGACTTGTGAAAATGATAATCGCTTCATTTTTTCCAGAGCTGTATTTAAAATAAAGAAAATTGAAAGTAGCCTAAATAAAAACCAAAAATAAAATTCAGGCAGTACGTCTATCTATAATATATTGAGCTTTAATTTAAGATGTATTGTAACATTGTAATTCTACTAGCAATCTCCCTTTTCTTTTTTTAAATGTACCAGTAATCTGATTACACTTTTTCTTACTGTCACTCTTAAGAGAATACAGTTTGGTACCCTGATTAAGTCATCTTGTTACATGTAATCTGTTACTGTAAGCCTGACTCTACATTCTGTTCAATTGGAAAACACATATATGGACATATAATACATATAATATAATACTATTGAATACATTATATATTTATAGCGCTTTTGTAGGACTCAAAGTCGCTTTACAACATAATATAAATGGACACATTTACACACAGCATAATTTCTCGTGCACTGTGAGGACATTAACATGATTTCATTTGCACTGTAGTCCCTCTGATTAGGCTGATAACACAAGTGTCTACAGTATACCACTTTACTACTGACACAGAGAATACAAATTAACCTCTCATCAAACAGCCATGCAAAACATTTTGTTTTAAATCATCTGCTCCACATTAATCCTGATATACAGTACCTTTCAGTGATGCACTATATTAACAGTTAACTGGAAAGGTAGCTCTCTTCCCACATTCCAAAAATCCATCTCTCTCTAAGTCGGCCAGCTCACTGTATGAGGACACATTTTCCTGTGTCCTTCTCCTTCAATCCAATATGGCCGACCAGATGCTGAGGTCACAACAAGTGGCGGATGGATGGTAATGGCACAGCTGTTGGATTGGGGTTCTTGGTAGGGGTGCCAGTGTTGCACCAGATGGCGCCCGTGGGATGGGGTTTGATTGGAAAAGAGGTTTGGGTCCAGATGCTGAGAGGAGATGGGTTGCAGCCAGATGCTGGGGTCAGGGGGTCCGAGCAGGGGGGGGGGGCAGGAACACAGCTGGCTCCTGTGGACCAAGAGTTGGCTCACAATCAGGTCACAGAGAAAGCAGATGATGCTGCCAGGAGGGAAACTTGAGTGTAATTTGCACCTAGATAAAATCCCATTTCATGTTTCTGTTCTTTATTCCCTCTTCATCCACCCGTCCTTGGCTGAAGGAGCATTGCTAAGGTTGTGAGCCAGGTCCACGCCTTCCAGGAGGCGGTGTACCCCTACAGCCCGGACCTGGACCTGCAGGCCTACCTTCGGCACCGCATGGCCCGCCTCTCCACCTCTGACCTCCACCTCTTGGCCGCCGACAACGACGCCAACTTCCGGCAGTCCAGCGAGCGACAAGCGCGGAGGATCCAGAACACGCTGATGAGGGTGAAGGCCACCTTCCAATGAGCCCTGCCCCAGGCACAGTGCCAGGCACCAGGTCAACACCTCCTGACTGAGGCCCCAAGCCCAGGCCCCGACCCTCAGAGGCCTCTGTTGTCCTGGCAGCAGAACCTTGTGGACTTAGAAACTGCTGTCATATACACCATCTGTCAAAAGAACCTTAACTTAAGTAAGGGATAATGTGCAGCGGAGCAGTCATTAATGAAAAAGTATTACACAGCAACATACTTAATAAACCAACGACTTGACCGCAATTTTGATTTGAAATGGTTTTCTTGATTTAAAAATGATCATCCATGTCTGTTTAAGTTCTCTTTAGTGATTACTTCCTGTCTGTCTTCTTCTGCTGTTCCCGTTAGTGTTTACTTCCTGTCTGTTGATTTCTCTGACGTCCAGGTCTCTTGCGCTCTTTTTCTTTTCTTCACTGGGGACAGTTCAGCCATCATGAATCCAAAGTGTTGTGCTCTCCACAAATATCTAAATGAATATTCAAAAAGTGTTCCATGGTGTTTCTCTGATGGAGAAAACGAATGTTGGTTGTCCACAGATGATTTCTGCAGAATGATTTGACTGCACAATGTGCACATAGTATCTCCCTTGATTCTCCTTAGCAATGGTCTGTTAGCGAGAATGAACCACCTCTGGTATGTCCCAATTGAATCAGAATCGAGTATACAACTTAGCTTTGTAATAAGTCAATATATCAGTTGAGACAACTGTATTTGTAAGACTACACATGTAAACCTTTAGAAATGTGTTCGGTTCTGATTCCAGCATTTTTCTTGCGCATTGAGAAGAAATTGTTTGATTCTTTCTCTGCTAATATATTGTACTTTTGTAATCATTATTTTTAGCTTTAAAGGCTTCGTACACAGAGCATGGCAGCATTGCAAACTGCATGTGCAAAGAAGGCACCATGGCTGAGACCCCCAGGGCCCCCAGAAACCACAGCCTCACTGTGTATCATGGTTATAATATCAATTGTAACTTTGTTTAGGAATATGCACCACTAAATGAAATAATCAACTGACCCAAGAAGACACTTTGGTCCAGACTGAAATGTCTCAACTATTTGATAGATGTCTATGAAATGCTGTGCAAATATGAACAGTCCCTTGAGAATAATTCAAAATCCCCTGACTCTTCCTATGGCATGACAGTGCGTTTCACCTTTGTGCTTTTCACCTGCATTGTTCCTTATGGAAAGCAGGCAAGACTTTATTGCAAAAAGAGTCTAGATTGTATAGAAGTCTATAAAAAGATGACTCCACTTCTCTCTATATTTTTTACCTCGTTGTTTTCTTGAGAGTTGATGGTCTTCATAGCAAGCTTTCTAGCTGCATGATGTTCATTTTGTAAAGTATGATCTAATTTAGGGTAAAATAGAGAAGAGTCAAATATATAGCTTTAGGGTGGGGCTAGTAACAGGTGTTGTCTGGTTTGGGTGTTTGTTTTCTTCTTCATCAGATAACCTTAACCCTTTTGATTGTGTTTTCAGTTTATTAAAGTTCATTTGAACATTATGGTTGCTTAAAAAGCATGGTAACAGCCAAAAGGCCAAACTGAAGACTTCAAAATGACACTTCCTAAACCGATGGACAAACAAGTCCCAGGGTTCATACACTTTTTCACCAATGATTTTCAATGACTTTTGCATGACTTCTCCATGACCTTTACCTAATTTTCCATGACCAAAAAAATTACTCTCTCAGCGGTACCACTGAAAATGGTTTATTTGAACATGGAACAGGAAAATAAGGTCTGAAACATGTTGTGCCTATCTAAAACAAATCAAATAGGCTTACTAGCTTCTACAGGCTAAAGCAACTACAATCTCTCACCAGCAAAATACCTCGACAGTTAAATGCCATTTTACGTTCATTACTATACCATACAATATTTATTATCATTATAGTATTACTATTTCGGCAATTAGATAAAATATAAATTATATTTGATGCAACTTTAGTTAAATTTCCATGACTTTTCCAGGTTTTTAATGACCGTAGGAACCCTGAAGTCCACTTCTCTGTCTATGTTTAAATGTTATTTTCATTATTTTTAGCTGAAATTGTGCCTTTGAGTTGCATATTCCTAAATTTGACTTTATATATGTAGCAGTTCTGGGAATGTGTTTTTCCAGCAGAGACATATATAAAGGGGACAGAATGGGAGGGGGGTTAATAATACAATCAATTTGATGTTGCTCACATTGTAAAACTACTCTTAATATTGTATTAAATGTAATGAACGGTTTATTGATCATTTATTTTTGCTTAACCTATGATGCATAGTTTGTTTACAAATCATTTATTAAATAAGATTTATATTGGTAAATAAATGAATCTGAGCACAATGTGAAATATTTGCATTTGAAAATCACCGTAAAGGGCAGAAGCTAAATGTGTTTGACAGTATGGTGTACCATTACAGAGAAATCTATGTGCAGAATGTAATGGGAGGAATGATGTTCAGTCTATTTTTATATGTTTCTGCCTGCTCTCTTTCTCTTTTTGAATGTGTTCATTTAGCCAAATAAATGACATTTGATATGCCCTTTGTTGCCAAAGCGTATTATTGTCAGACGATATCCATGATAGAAGAGCACAGTAATGACTAGTGATACTTCTGGCATTTCTTCCTCTAAATTATGCCTGGAGGATTTGTTTTGGTGAGATAGTCACATCATATTTTAAGCCAGAATACAAAATCTGATGACAAGAGGCGCTTTCACACCGCAGTACTTTTCCCACTTTAGTTCCGATATAGCATTAGCCCAGTGCACAAACGCAGAGAGACTACCTTATGGCAACACAAAATCAAACATGGGAGCGGTGGAGATGAGGAGGTGTCGGCGTTCTGGCGATTTACTCTGAAGGCTTCAGTAGAAGCTGCTGTTAGTCCCAGCAGCTTCTACTGAAGCCAGTCCCCAACTCCGGGGACTTCCGGACGGGGACTCCGGGTGGCAGTATACGCCGTGAAGTTGTTTGCGGCCTGCCAGTAAACCCAAAGCAGAAGAGGAAGAAGTGACGTCAGCGGCTTCATTTGACTAATCCTCCCCCAGGGACTTATTCCGGTGTGAACGCGATCTGTACTTAGTTCATGAGAACTAAAGAGTTCTCATGAACTAAGTTCTGATGAACCTTTGTGGGAAAAGTACTGCGGTGTGAAAGCGCCTAAGGACCCTTGTTAACATTCGGACATTACGTTTTATTTTGCCTTTTGGCTTTGCTTTCTCAATGCCTCTCTCCTATGCCTTGCACATTAGATGCGAATGATTTGTTAAGTGTTAAAGGGGCCCTATTTTGCTCATTTCAGGTTAATACCTTTATTACTTTGTATACTATGACATGTCTCCATGTTTTAATGTTCAAAAAGCTCTTTATTTGTCTCATAATGCCTGTGCTGCAGCACCTCTTTTCACCCTCTGTCTCTGTCACAAGGACGTTATCCTTTGCAGACCATTGACATGCACACAAACCTATAGAACACACTACATGAAAGGGAAAACTCCAATAAGCAGAACAGGGCCCCTTTAAGGACAATTATTTTCTTTTTTCTAAATAGACAAATACATGTACACTGTTTTGTCATACTGTTCCTGTGATATTGCGTTCAAATTATGAAACCTCCTTGGAACAAACTTTTATAAAACTCCAATAACATCAATGAAAACAGGCTTCTTCATGATATAGGAGGAGTAGTGCTGCCTATGGGTCCAAGTCATTGTTTTTCAAGTCACAAGACAGATTTTGTAATTGCACTCGAGTACAAAGGCCCACGTTTTTGAGAAAAAAGTCCTGATGCTCTCGTCGCCAATTTCAACATGTATGTTTTTAATCCTGTCTTTATTAGTCTTTTCACCACTGCAAAGTATTTGTAGATGTCTCTCAGTAATGCATCATGAGTTCTTCAAGGTTTTGTCTTGCAACATGTTTGGATGCCGTTGATTGGTTCTAGCAAGTCGTATCTGGGAAATGCCTTGTTGACTTGCTTGGGATGACTATCGATAATTAGGGAAATTAAAGGAGATGAATTGGTTTGGGGCAAACTTTTTGAATTACTTTGATATTTGGGCGATGAGCAGGGTAGGGTGGGTTACTTTAAAACAATTATTCTGTTACAATAACTACCTGTAAAAAAGAAAATGTAATCAGTAACCTAATCTAAGTGTATTATGTAAGACAACAGCACAATGTAACCTTAGAAAAGAAGAAACCAAGTCATTTTAGAATCAGAAATTATTTTATTAATAGGAAAAGCTGCCTTATAGATGCACTTAAAGTATTAGCCTACAGAACAGCACCGTTTACAGAGAAGAGAGAACATCTGATCCTTTTACAACAAACACTATATGCTCTTTTTAGTTTTTACTAACATTGTAATCCTGCTAGTAATCCTCACATTTAAAAAATGTACCAGTAATCTGATTTCCTTTTTGTTGGTGTTACTGTATACATGCAGTTACATTTGTTTGTATCCTGATTAATCCTGTTACATGTAATCTGTTACTCCCTTTGGACTTCAAGTCAAAAGTCTGAACTACAGTCCACACCTCTGTTTCTGCCTATAGTACTGGCAAATGTACAGGCAAAGGCAACAGAAGAAATGCAACATTATGAACATAATTAAGCATGTATTTGACCTGCAGCAGTATTGTACCTGTGCACATTACCTCAAATGATGATACAACTATGCACTTTACTTGAAGATTTTGAGTTCATGCTTATTTATACATCTGTTTCACAAGGCGAAGAAAATACTGTACTTTTTTCTCAATTTATCTGAAAGCTATTCGATTTTAGATATAAAAAAGCTTTAACCATGCCATTCAAGATCCAAAAATGTTAATTTCATGTGCATTGTATCATTTAGAATCCACTAGTTTGATATTTAAAGCAGACAGGGGTTATTCTACACAACCAAATAAACTAATACAACTACTGATAAAAGTACATGAGGTAAATCAAACTTATAAAAAGCATTGGGGATTACAAAGGCACATGATATTAATAGAGGAACATGTTTAATAAAGAGGCAAGCAAACATTAATAAAATAAAAAATAAAAATGCACACATCCAAGGTAGTAAAAATAATTAAATCTAAAAGAATGCCTCACTTGAATATGTAATACGATTTCAGAAAACGTTTCATATTTACAATGGTAATATGTAGCCTACTTTAAACATTCCCAAGCCTGCTTGCAAACAGCACAAAACATATGGGATAATGTGTTGGATAATTGCCTTCACCCAGTGCTCTTGGGCAGCAGGAATTAGAATACAGTCCCTCAGTCTCTCCTGGACAGACAGAGCAGAGCGGAGGAAATGGGCGCAGTGTGACGCTGTTATTATCTGAAGCATCGGGGCGCTTCTTCAAAGCGCGCAGATAAAGAGCTCGAGGCCGGAGCACATGACACAGATCCCCGATAAAGAGACCAGCGGGCTGGCCCTTATCTGCTCTGTCATATAACTAAACGATCAGTTTAGTGCCATTGTCCCTGAGCTGCTGCATGGGGGGATCTCTCAGGGGGGGGGCTGCAAAAATAAAAACAGGTCCGGCTCTGTCTGGTGGTAAAAGGTGTCTATTGAGACCTAATGGATGAAAGTTTCAGATAGTTTTAACAGAAAACGTCGCAGGCAGAAACATGTTGGTAGTACTCTCTGGGGACTGATTATTGGTCTTGAAGCGGAGGGTCGCCGGTTCAAGTCCCAGAATGGACCAACGGAGTGTTTAAGTCGCTTTCACCTCCTGCGTATAGGCTACCACCCAAATTCCCTTGAGCAATGCATCAGACTCCTATAGTAGCTGCCCACTGCTTATTATACAAGTTAAATTACTATGTATGAGGTGATTAAAGATTAATTCATTAGAATCCAAGATTTAGATTTCCATTTGTATTATGGTGATGAATATGATCTCACGTGTGTGTTCTGCCAACACAAGTTGCTATTTTGTCGAATGTAGAAATAATATTGAGTTTGAATGGAAGCCGGTTGACCCCTCATAAAGTACGAAATGAACGCAGGGAGGACGTGGAAGTGACCAAATGTTATATGTTAGAATTAGTTATGGTATGTATTTATATTAAAACAATTTAAATCTGACAATAATGTTGGGATGTCAAAAGTTTATGTAGTTATAATAATATTGTTAGCCTCGCATTACTTTTTTTCAGGATGGGTTTAATCGTAAATAAATGCACATTTTTCATAAACACAACATTATTTTGGTGTGCAGACCCAAAAATAAAATCTGACAAACTTTGGTAAAATGCAATTGAAAGCACATTACGTCATTTATCTCATCCACTATGCGTGAGAAATTCTCGGAGGAAATCTCCTCGTTACTTTCGTCCCACGTTACTTTAACCCAGACCTCCCCTATACTGTCAGCCATAGGAATAGCAGCACTGTGCTTTTTACTTTTACTATGTAGCCTACCTAATTCATTCCTTATATCTGCAGCCTTTGGTGTTTGATGCGGTCAATTTAAGGATTACCAAATCCCTCTATGGGCTTGTTTGCACCCCCCCCCCCCACCCTCTTACTCATCCAGCAGCTTCCTCGTGGCTTGTTTAGCATATTTACATGTGAACGGCTCGACAATCAGCAGTAATTGTGTTGCTCCTGTAATACCTTTGATCTTCAATGTTTGAAGCGTCTGTGCCAAACGCTGGCTCTCGGGTCGCCGGCGCCACCACTCACCGGGGGATCAGAGGACATGTCAATACCAACCATCAAGGACTGCCCCCCCCCCCCCACCCCTCAGAAGTATAGAGCTGCGATGTATCATTCCCCACAGATCCCATGTGTAATACCTGGATCACTATTATTAGGTGCTTAAACATAACGCTTTCAAGCCATGATAAAAACATTAACACAAGTGGCAATAATCAAAAGTCAAATTGCAGTGTCCATGTCTTTTGTTTTCTTAAATAAGTTATTACGTGATTTCCCCCTCTTTATTGTAAAGAAAAAGACACTCTTTAACAATATTCAATTAAAAGTCCTTTATTTAATAAAAAGTACAGAAGTATTGGCAACAGTAACACCATGCACATCAAAAACGGAAACCATGCACATAACCCAGTCTACTGACACAATGATAATATGGTTGGACACATGTTACTGATGTATTCAAAAGCAGATGCTGCAGATGGTCGAGGTATGCACCAAATCAGAAACTAGGATGTGTGCAAACTCTTTAACTGGATGGCCTACCTGCCTGTCAGCCTTCCATCTGTGCACACATTTATCTCGTGCCCTCATTGGTCATGTGCCCGTTCGTGTGTGTTGGAGGAGGGGCTCTGTAAGGAAGTGGCAGATTTTTTTCGGCTGTGTATTTTCAAATTCTGGCGCACTCGAGCTGGTTTCTCCAAAATGACCTACCCCACCTTCAATGTTATTACAATGATTGTTATGTTTTACAAGTATATGGACACTATTTGGAGACTTACTGCTCAGATATTGTCTTTAAAAGAGATGTTCAAAACTATTGACTGAACTCTTCTTGGTCTCAGATAACATAAGGGATTGTTTCATTAGATGTATACACTTTCCAGCTAATATTTCTAAGATGCATTTCTTTCTCAAATGTTGCGCATATGGGGACACTAGATCAGTGAGGAAGAAATCCAGTTGTAGTGTTTCAAATGTTATTGGTAACTGAGCCAGGCCTATGGCTTTGACACCTCTCCCGGGCTACTGTATACATGCAGCAGCAGAAACATGAAAGCGCGTCTCCACCTCTGCAGGAGCCAGCTGTTCCTCCCGCCGCTGGTTTCAGTCGCGGCGGACAAATGTATGAGCTCAGGAGGGTTCTCACAGACTCGGCGGCGCCAGGTCTTCACACTCACAGGATATGTAAAGACTTCAATAACGAGCCATTAAGCCCTAATCATCGGGATCGATCAGGCGTTAACAAGGGCCTCTACATATGCAAATAGTGGCGAGGGCCGGGGCCCTATAAAAGCTGCCTCTGGCCAGGAGCTGGCATCACACTCTCCCTTTGACATTCGGTGGATTAACAGGTCACTGAGCAACAACATGGTGAAATACTTTTCAGTGGACTGGCTGGCCCAGAGCCACGAACACACCGCGGTGACGGAGGATGCTGCCCCGGCCTGCAGACCTCACATCCCCTGCATGGTACAGCCCTGTCCGCCGACTTTTGGCAAGAGTTACCTGCAGCCAAAACCCAGGGCCACTAAGCCCGTTGAATCAGTAGAGAGCAGCGGGCAGGACGCCAACCTGTGCTCACCTTTCCATCCAACAAGTTGCACCTCACCAAGTAAGTTCACTACTCATGGCAGCCTGCATTTCTTTGATTTAAAAGAAAAATATGTCAAGCTTTGCGCACTAGAATGGTGTATAACCAGCTGTTCCTTCCTTCAGTTTCAGAAACCAGCGGGTATTCCTCCGGGTATGAGAGCGAGGCGGCTTCCTCTGAGTGTCTCTCTGTGGATGATGGCAGCGATGCGGAGAAAGACGCAGCGCAGCGCCGAGTGCGCACCAAATTCACCCCCGAGCAGATCAACAAACTGGAGAAAATCTTCAACCAGCACAAATACCTTGATGCTGGAGAGAGGGTGAAAACAGCACAGAAGCTCAACCTCACAGAAACTCAGGTAAGAAGAGAAACCAACAATAACACCAAAAGAATGCCATGTTCCTTCTTTTTTTCCTTTATTGTTTTTTGTTTAGAGACTAACTTTATCCTTGCCTTCTCTTAGGTACGAACCTGGTTTCAGAACAGGAGAATGAAGCTCAAGCGGGAGGTGCAGGACTACCTGGCTCCCCAAATCTCCCCGGTGATGTTCCAGCGTCTGCCCCCGCTTCAGTACCACAGCATGGCCGGACAGCGACCCCACTTCCCGGCCACCGGCCCGGCCTTCTACCCGCTCACGGTCCCGCAGCTGGTCCTCCAGCAGCACATGCGCCCTCCTCACGTCATGATCCACAACCCTCATTACTACTGAAGAATTTACAACCAGAGACTTTTCCAATCGAAACACTTACAATCCCGTGCAATCCAGAGTATTTGATGTGTGATTTTTATTAATATTATGTTATATCAAAGTTGTATATAATTTACATTAAAAGTATATTTATCATTGAATAAAAAAAAGTTTATCTTCTAATCCCTGGCTCTGACTTTCTGTGCTTTGCATACATAACAAGAACAAATGTGGAGATAAAGCTGATGATATTATCTTTATTGCAGGATTAGTTCCCCATGTATAGATCATCCTGCATTTAATCTTAAAGTAGGAGGAGGTTGGAAGAAAGGGATCTGATAAAAATGGGAGTTGTCCATTAAAGCTATCACAACTCATTGTAAGGATCTCTCAGTATATCAAAGCCCAGTCAAACAAATCATTATCAATGAAATCACGAGTCCAAAATTGTCCTTGCGCGTCCCATACAGACATCGCGGTTACCCCCCTTTACCTGTCAACAAAGGCTGACCAAATGCTCTCCTCAATGCGCCTTGTTTGTACCAATATCTGCACTTCAAACGCCAGCTAACGGGAGATCATGACCAACAATTAGTCCCAATTAAGCTGTTCATTGGTGAGTTTACACTTACGGCAGGGACCCCCCCCCCCCCCCCCCCCCTTCGGCCTGGCTCCACTGAGTCTGGGTCTTTGTGTGGCCACATAATCTCATTTGTGGTTTGAAGTCTGAGGCCTGGGGTTAGAACTTGATTGTGTGATGAGGTTTGGAGACACTAGAGATAATAAAGGTAATATTCATGTGTATTTACACTCAGTGGCTGAAGGGGCATTGTCCCCCTTTTTACAGTCCAATTACATCCTGGGTGAGGCATCAGAAACCCATTTATTGCCAAGGAATTTGCTTTGGTGGATAATACTGTTACAACAAAAGGAACTAAGTTGTATACAATATATAAATATTGAAAAAGTTCAAAGTTAATTAATGAAATTGTATTTCAAAATGGCGTCCATCAACACAAGCACTATTTATAGAAAGAGAAATGGTAAGTTTGTAATTTTGTAATTACCAGTGTTGTGAGTTCAATATTTTAATTAATTATAGTAAGGGAACATCTTAGGAGTTAGTGTAGTGAGTTTTCAGAGCAGTGTAATACTTATTTGACCTAAAACTAAATGTTTTTATGAATGTCCTCTGAGGAGGACATGGGGATTTGCTAACTTTTTATTTCCCCCATTTTACACGACACAAATGGAGTCCACTATGGGCCAAAACTAACACTTAGGTTTCTGTAGGGTTCATGGCAGACGGATGCAGTGGGAAAACATACATCAAGTGTCTCAAGTGTCAGATGTATCTCTGCATTTCAAAAAAGGATGGAGTACTACAAATGAGGGCTCAATATTTGTTGCATTGAGTTGTTGTGCTCTAATGTTGTCTAAATGTACTTGTATGTTAATGTTGTTTGTATACTATGCTTCGCATAACTAACACCTGATGTCCTCTACAAAGGACACACAATAAAACAAAAATAAAAATATATATTTTTAGTTTTTGTTAGTCATTATGTGTATACCACCTAAAGACTTGTGTGATCTAAAATAAAAAGGACATTTGAAACCTTTTCCTTTTTGGGTCTCAGGAGCAATTGTTTTTTCAATTTAATTTTAAAGGTTTAATTTGAAACCATGTGCAAAGCATTACATGCTGCTGTAACAAAAACATTCCCCCAACAATAGAGTAAATGGAATCTGAAATTCCAGAACAAGCTGAGGAGTGTGCATGGTTCACAGTCTGGAATATGAGGAAGGTTTTAGGATGTATAGTGTCTTTGGGATGAGGGTCATAGTCTGACATATTGCATTGATGCAGTTTTGCTGTAAATGATTTATTTGATAACAATATAATCCTCATTGTTCTCACAGGCTACCTGTTGTGTGGTGCCTGAAGGGGCCCCGGGGCCTTTCAGCAAATATGTCATTGTCAACAGGTCAACACAGATCAAACGGAACCTTCTCACTTTCTGATGCAGTCACACATAACAAAAGCTTCATCACCATCCTGCTTCTCCTCAGACAGACAGCTGTCTGCGGCTGGGAGACTCATCACTGATTGGACAGCCAGCATGTCAATCACACACAGATGTGGACAGCAATATAGAGGTACCTGATGCATCATGAGACATTTAAAAATGATTAATGAGTTCAAGATTCATAATACTTTATTGATTTTGTGTGATTTCATGACAATTGTATCATGCTGTACCATAACTCCCATATAGGTAATTACTGTTACTCTGTTACAGATCATTTTAACTGTTATACTGCTTTATAATGATTATAATTTAGTGGTTATTTTAATTAAAGCAATGAATGACCAATCATAGTGACTTATAACCAGCTTTATGACAGTGATTATTGCATTATTGTAATGTAATCATTAAATGATTCTTATATATTAAAACTATGGGAACTATGATCCTTGCAAACAGTGAATGGCAATAATGATGTAGTAGTAAGGGCCCCCCCCCCCCCCCTTACAAGTTAAGTTGGGGGGCAGCGACGGATACGGCTCTGTCTATATGTCATTTCTTGGTCACTACGGCTGATAAGACATTTTATGCAACAGGGAATATTTGAAAGTCTGTGTGTGATTGGCCAATGGCACAGCAGGACTGAAAGCCCACTTGAAAGAGGTCTTAAATCGGGCTACAATCTGGTATTTTAGTTAACAGCCCTGTATTCATAGCGGATATCACCCGGCCTTACTTCATGCAGAGATCATTTCTGTCAGGTAACTGATACTCAGACTCAGTGGCGCCGGAGCCAGCCAGGGAGGTGAGAAATCCCACAGCCCGGCCTCCATTAACCCCAATTACACCCACCATCAAGTTTCTATCGTTCCGCTGAGAGGCCTTTGCAGATGCAAATAAATACGTGTGCCCCTTCTTTAAGTGAGTGACACAAGAGGCATCAACACAAACACACCGTGAGACCACAACATGGAAAACGTCTCTGTGCAATGGCTCTCCAAAGGTTATTATGAGGAAGCGGCGCTCCATTCAAAAGTCCATAGCGAAATTGTGCAATTTACAAAGAAGCAGTATTCCCCGACTTCTCCCAACAGTGAGACGCTGATCGACTTTGCACCGACATGTCTTTGTGTTTCTGTTGACTTCGGCTGAGTTATTGAAGCTCCCTGTCCTTCCTACAGCTGACAGTTGCGGGTGCACTTCGGATGACAGCGAGGGGGAAGCCGCCCAGCAGCTGCGGAGCAGCGGAGGTGAGGACCAAGTTCAGCTGCGGGCAGATCAGCAGGGACAGGGGCCTGGGGTCTATGCAGAGGAGGGGGATCAGGCAGCAGCACATCCCCGAAACTCAGGTGGGTTTGACGCTCGGGGGGTCTTCGCCGAACAATTAGGACAGTTCCCTCAAAAGTAGTGTGGTCCCATGTGAAGGAACTTCAAAGTACAATCTGTGGCTCCTGGTGTGTTTTTGTCAGATAAAGTTAATCAATCATAACCAGTCACTCTGGTATAAATAACACACGGCAGAAACAATTACATGTCCTGCATTACATATATTGTTTATGTATTGTATTGGCACAAAAACAGCCCATTGCAGAATAATACACATTTATTGAATATTATGAATGCAAAAATAGCTTTATCACTTTATTGTGCAGCTTTCTCTTGTGATTTTCACGTATTACCTATAATAAGACATCAATTAATGTAATGAAGTAAATTCTCTTTGAAATGTTATAGCAGTGAAGTAAAGTTAATAAAATGGAAATGCTCTATAAAGTGTAGTGTATGTGGGAAGTTATTAAGTACATCTATTCAACTGTATTTAAGTAAATGTTTTACTTTTTAGTTACTGTACTTTACTTGAGTCTTTCAATGTAATATATATTACTATAATAATATACCACTGCAATTTGGAAGAAAATATGCTTTTTGCTCATCACATTTATTTAACAAGATTAGTTATTAGTTACTTTGCAGGTATTTTGCATTTGTATTGAAATTAATGAATTATGAATATTATGTGATAAAATCCCTGGGAGTATAATATATAAATAACATATGATGCCAAGCTTTTACTTACAGATTAATTCTATACACTGTGGTATTATAATGTTTACTTTAGTAAAAATATCTGAGTACTTCTTCCACCACTGCTGAATAGTTATGGAGTTCTGTATAAATTATTTTTTGAGTGGGCTCCTGATTGTCTTATTCGCAATTTTTATAATGACCATATTTATTCCCCAGGTGAAAACCTAGGTCCAGAACAGGCGGGTGAAGCTGAAGCGGGAGGTCGAGGACCTGCTCCCGGACTCATGTCTGTCCCGGCCGCCCTGTGGTTCAGCACCCCGCTCTGGGTGGACAGCTCCCGGCAGTCATCGTGCCTCCACACTTCTGGGCTCTGCCCCCTCCCGAGACAAATCAAAATGATTCCCTAAAGTATTGTCTATCTAGATATGTATACATTGCTCTCAAAGAGGGGTTCAAAATGGTAGCCAATAGCTTTATAGTGTTCGAACCAAAGCACTAAAGTCGATTTCTCTTGTGTATAACTTATGTATAACTAAAATAATGTATATTTATTTCCTGTGAATATTCTATGTGCTATATCACAATAAGAGTTTAACCAATATTTGTTATTATTTGTATTCTTTTCACAACTCTGTTATTCCTCAACAGCAACTTTTAAAATGATATAAGACTGAAGGTCAAAAACATGAATATATCACTTTTTCTTTAACGTTAATACTTTTTTATGCATGCTTCTTCGTAACATTAAGCTGTCTTTGGCTCTTTTTCTGCTGTAACAACGTAAATGTCCCCTCTGTGGGACTAATAAAGGTATTCTGATTCTGATAGAATGGAAAAATATAAAATAAAAAAATTACAAATAAAACATGCATAGGAAATTATTTTGAGTTATGATATTTAAAGAATAGCCTGGTGTTTAGATTGGGATCTGATTTGATTTGTCTCCATCCAAAATGAGCTAAA